CCGAATTTTTTAATAGGCTATATGAAATGGATAAGAAATATTGAATTTTATTTTAAACATTTGTTGAATGTATAACATTTTTAATAGGCAATTTGAAATTTTGTTTCATATACAATTAATTTTTTGCAATACAATACGTAGTATATTTTACTAAAGAAATTAAAAGTAACCTAATTATATTAGATGTGGTCTTATTAATTTTTTTGAGGACACACACATAGTCTTTTTAAAAACTTATGTTTTCCTTATTACAAAAATTTAGTAAGGGGCATATGGGGTACTCTTACATACTACATCTGCCACTCGTTTGGATAAAAAAAGATAAAATAAAGACAAAGAAAATGGGAGGAGAAAAATTAAATTGAAGAAGTGAGAATAAAGAAAATATATTATTCATATGAATAGAAATTAGTAGGTATACTAGCAATCCCGGGTTTACCACACGTCCAACACGCCACCTTTTGTTTCTTGTTGGCGGTGTTCTTGTCGGGCTTGTTTTTCTTCCTTTTTCCAGACTTGTGCTTCGCCTTGGAACCACCATCCTCCACCATATTAACACAAGATGGTCCAGCAACATCCTTGGATTTGTTGCTTTCCTGAGCCCTCACGGATTCTTCAATCCGAAGATGAGTGCCCAATTGAACCAAAGACAAATCATCTTTGTTGTGTTTCAACTCACGTTTGTAGTCTTTCCAAGACGGTGGCAACTTATCAATTACATTCGAAACAGAAATACATTCATCTTGTTTCATACCATGTAAATTAAATTGTCCCAACATACGCACAAGTTCATGATATTGTTCCATAACAGACCTCGAATCAACCATCTTATAATTATTAAAGTCACTAACAAGAAATTTCTTACTTGATGCATCTTCAACCATGTATTTGGATTCAAGAGAATCCCATAACTCCTTTGCAGATTCAATATTCTGATAAATATCGAACAGGGGATCAGACAAACCGTTTAGAATGTGGCCTATGCAAAGAATGTTGTCATTCTCCCATTTGCAGCGCCTTCTGGCATGTTCAATGGTTTCGTCCTCGCGTTCTTCTGGTTTGGGAGTACTCAGCACANNCGTTCGTCATCTTCAACGAAAATATTCAATCTTTGTTGGGGAAATTAATGATAACTTGGATGAATCGAGAGTTGTGTAAACACTTTCAGATTGAATATTTTGGTTGTTCACTCCAAAATTCAATCGGATAAAACTCGAAAGTATCAAGAACGAAATATGAGAATTGCTGTGTCTAAAAAACCGAACGAAATTCGACCATGCCCAGGGGGATTTTATAGACTAGGGGTGAGAAGGAGAAGACACCATTCGCGGCTATTACCCAAAGCACGCAACTCTTCGCGCGGAAGTTTCTTCTTCAAAATTCGGTCCTATCCATCGAATTTTCTTTTAAAGAAAATTCGAAATTAAAATTCTAATTGAATTTTTTAACATAGCACCGAGCCCAAAATAAAAAATTTTCGACCCCAGCCAGGGGCTCTGCCCCTTGGACTCCGCAGGGGCTGCCGCCCCTTGAACCCTGCTCGGGGGCGCTGCCCCCGAACCCCCGCCAAGGGGGCAGCGCCCCCTTGAAACCCCCGGTGTAACGGGTTTCATATCGTAACAAACTCAATGAAGCGTGCACTCCGCACCACCAAACTTCTTTGATGATTATTAGGATACCATTGGTCGTAGTTTTTCCAATTACACTAAAATATATAACAAAAAGGAGAAAAAATAGAAAATGAAATTTTTAATTTTTTGTTTGGCTGGAAATTAGAAAAAAGTGAGAGCAAAGATAATAAATATGATGATATAAGATGACATCTTTATTATCCTTATTTGATTCACTAAATCCAAATACAGCAATTTAAAAGAACAAGGACAAAAAAGTAACTTTATATGTTTTCTCCTAAATCTCACCGTTTTCTTCTCCATTTGAGATAAAACTTTGCCTATATTTTTTCTGCTCTTTTCCTCCTTTCTTCTTATTTTCTTTCTTAATCAAACATAAGAAAAATTCTTTAAAATAGTGTTTTCCTCCCCTCCCTTTTCATTTTTTCCCAACCAAGCATGGTGTAAGCGTGGGGGATTATTTGTGTTGAATTTTTTTCAAATAAAATTAAAAAGGAGGAAAGAAAAATAAGTTGAGGTAATTAACAACAATTAATAAATGAGACACGTGATCAAGGAATACTATTGACTTGTTTAAAAAAACTTTGTTTGTATACAATTAATGTTGACATTAGGCATGAATTACATTTGGCAATCAACGGTAAACCACGCAAATACCCCCTGTTTTTTCTAATTACATTTGGCATTCTATATTTTTTAGTATTATATATTGGCACTATTAGCATTATAAATCTTATTTTGAGGATATAAACATAAATATTTATTTTGATTTTTTCCTTAATTATCTTTTACTCTTAATTTAGTCTTTCTTCATGGCCTCGAAAGTGTGATAATTAATGTTTTTATAACAAATGAATAAAAAGCAAAGTAAAAAAGTTATATACCGAGTATTCTTTATATCGATAACGCAAATTTTTCCGTGGACATAAGGTCCATGTTCATTTTATGAACCTTAATATATTTATAGCATAAAAGAATTGAAGTGAGTCTTTGCAAAAAAGAAAATATTTACATGCAAGACCATAAAAAATGTGAGAAAGTCTACATTTTAAATGTAAACTTTAGGACCATATAAGTATTACTCATATCATAAAATTAAGTTTTAATCACAAAATTTAAGTATGTATATACTCCGTATGATATAGTTTACTCCGTATTATATTGACCAACATCAAGTTATATATAATAATACAACATTAATATCATTCGATTTTTTCTAAATTGAGAAGATGTAGTTTTAAAATATTGTATATCTTATATAATCACATGTATAGAGAATAATATATTACCTTTGCCTTAAGAACAAGATTGTCAGTTTTCTTTTTTGATTGAATCAAAACAAGTGCGTTTCTCATTCTAATTTTGTTTTTGAAAGAAGATTTGTCCATTAATTCTCAAACTCTAATAAACAAGTTTCTCATTCTTTTAAACAATAAGTTGTGTGATTTAATTTTTTTTGCTTCTTTCATTCAAAATGTGTCAAGTATACATTATATTGTTCCACATTAAAGTAAATGAAATTCAAAGTAAAATCTTAATTTATTGGAGGCGAAACAAGCAACATTTGCACGACAAATAAAATCCCATATTTACAAACCTATGCTAGCTCACTCATCATCACTCTCCTCAATTCATTATAGTGTTTCTATTGTGGAGCTAAACTAATTAATTATGTGACCCTTCTCACATGGTTAAAACAGTGAAATTAAAAGAATTCCCAAAATTATTTTATTTACAATAACAAATCTAGTAGAATAGAATTTCGTAAAATTAAGGTCTGAGTGTAATTGTGTGCATATAGACACTCCCCACACTAAAAAAATAGTTGGAGAAGTTGTTTCCAAGATATCTTCAATAAAAAATGAAAGCACACACAAAGAAATTCAAACAACACAAATAAAATACGAACATAGACAAAAGAATACATAAATCAATATGTCTATTCAATTACTGTAATCCTAGATTGGGAGAGGTTCCTATAAATCTATGACCATATTACTTTATTTATGTGTATCTTGTAGGAAATTGGGAGGCCATGAAAGACAATGCGGCAAAGCAGCATTAGAAGCACGACAAATTCTTTTGTGGTCTTTAAGTTCATACTAATTTTATGGACTTTGATACATGAAATGATTAAATTTATTGGACTTTCTAAAATGAAAGAGATCCAAGTATGAGTCCATAAAAAATATGTGAAATTTCACATGTGGATCTTATGACAACAATAGCAAAACTCTAGAAAGAATTAGTATAAAATAAACGTGAAGAAAACTTGATAACTTTTACGAATCACATAATAGTTTTCAAATTAAAGTTATTTTGGAGTATACTAAAATACTTAAATCGTGTAAGAATTAACATAAACTTACAAGAACGCGTATCTTTAAATTGATTCTACATTTGAAAACGATATACCGTATGACTTCATATATATATCTAGAGCCAAATCCGAGCTGGCGGGTTTGTTGCGCGAAACGTAACATGTGTGTAACATTCGAATGGTTAGCTTAAACATCTGATTGATTGCATCGATTATATACACAAATCGTCGCGTCTGATCAGAAAACAGTAAAATATTTAGGTAAAAACATGTGAATGTATGCATTTTTTAATTTGCAAAGGGCGCTGATGGTTATCATTAAATTTTGATCGTACGCGTAATTTTGTATGTTTAATAATGTTTCTTATTTTTTACTCTGTCTACAAAAATCTAAATAATTTGCATAAAGCAATTCAACAATATCCATATTAAAATAAAATTTCTCTTAGGGGCTTTGTCCCTTGGACTCTGCCATTGGGGGTTGTCGCCCTCAAACCCTTGTTAAAGAATTTGTAATTTCATCGAACGAATGTGTATTTTCCCTTTTTACACCTACTAACTAAGGATCTGTTTGGGAACAACTTTAGAGATTCGTATTAACATTTTGAAAAGATTATCTACGAGCAGTCTTTAGTGTTAGCAGTTGTGAAGTTAATCTACATCATTAAAATTTTATCCAAAACACTGTCGCTAATCAAAAATAATATTCACAAACTGGCCCTAAGTCGTTACATTTTCATCTCATACAATTACATTAAATAGTCGATCGAAGACGCTAAAATCACCTAACATTTCTTAATTGTGAAGAATTTGTGATGGCCGAACATCACCGGATTCATTAATTGTTGTTTTAATTATATTTCAATTTATAAAACTCTAATTAAATTAAATTAAATTAAATATGCTTAGTGCTCTCATCATCGTTTTTGCCTTATTAGCTCTGCGCGCTGTCATTTCATATATATATATATATATATATATATATATATATATATATATATATAGACAAAAAAAGGCTGACTGAGCTGCGCTAGCTCGATCATCCATCTCACCAGAGGCCGGCCACCACAAAGGCATTGCCGATGGAGAACCTGCCGGAAACATTTTACGTGGACCCCACATGGGGAACGCCGCCGATAACCACCGCATTCGCCGCCGCACGCCTGTCGGAGCCCTCGCCGGAGGAACTGTTGCTCCTGCTTCACCGCCCTTCTCGCCGCGAGGATGCCTTGGCGGTTCTTGTTACGGTACGGCATTAATTAATTATACGGATCGGAGTACTTAATTTTATAAACTCACGGCCTTTTTATGCTCTAATCTCTACTTAACGCATAGAAATTAAATTAAAGCCGGAAAATACAATTAACACGATTTTAGATAATTTTTTGGAAAAATTCACATTGATGCTCTTAGAATTGCACAAGTTTATATAAATACTTCTCGAGATTTAATATATAACATAAATGCTCCCAAAATTTTTCTATAGTCACATCGGTACTCCGAGAATTGATATGTGTATAGCAGTGACCCAACATTTGGACTATTTATGTAAACCCGTGCAATTCTGAAAGTATTGGTATGAATTTTTCCTTTTTTGATGCTATATTATACCGAATCCTCCTGATGAATTTTGAAAATCATTAAAATATACGGAGTATATAGTCATTAAATAAAATTTTCAAAAAAATAAAACTTTTTCCAAAATAAAAGAAAAGTAAAACTTAAATGCTCAACTTATTGCAAAACAAGCACTAATAATCATTTCATCATACATACTTTTGTACCACACGAATTATTTGTCCAATTTAAATTTTTAATGTTGAATTAAAGAAATATTGATTATCAATTAAATAGACAGCATACAGAGTAATTTATTTTATATTCATATGATTTTTTAGATTAAATATACTCTTTATTATCTTCCAAAAAACTATGATAAAAAAAAGTTCATTGTACTAGTATTATGCGAGCCGTTTTTCATTTAATTGACGAAAAAGTTTTTCCTCAAAGAGAAAAAAATGACAAAAAAGTTTATCTAGATTAATTTTAAAAAAAGTTAAAATTGTACCCATACTATAAAACAAAAGAATGAAGTACTATACTACACTTCTACTATTTGAAATAATAGACAAAAAGCATTAACATTAACATTGTTTTTAGCTCCTTAAACACTATGTTTGGTTTAAAAACTTTGAAAGGAAAAAAGAAAAGGAAATGAGAAGGAAAACGATTATTCTTGTTTAATTGGTTAGTGAGGAAAAGAAAATGAGAAATAAAACATATTAAGAAGAGGAAAACCAAATTACTCTTATATATCTTGGTGAGAAAAACGAGAAAAAAACTATTTTGTTTTCTTTTTCTTTCAAATTCTTCAAACCAAAATAGTGTGTTCTCATGCAATGTACAAGTGTGAATAAGTATGAACCCAGAGACCACATGCATAAAAATTTCTTTACTAAAAGATCTACTTGTCGGATTAAAACTATAATTTTGAGGTATTTATATACGCAAATAATTTAATTACTATGTAGCGAATACTTAATGTTTTGTGAATCTAATTAAGGGAAAAAACAAATGCCTACTTAAAACTTATTTTTATTTTTGAGAATTATTGATATTAGCATTGCCATGTTGATAATGACACTCCAAATTTGTTAGTGATGAAAGGCAACAAACATTGTCATTACTTTTGCCAACTCAGTCTTTCATGTAAAATATCTTTCTTTCACAAATTTGAAATGTCATTCTCAAATATTGAAATATCAATTTCAATTTTCTTTTTTTTTCCGGCTTTGACTAATTTATTTAATTTGTTGGTTTGTGAGGGAATATAATTCAAAATCAAAATACTACATTTCCAAGGAATTAATGCTTTGTAACTGCTAGGACTATTTTATCCGTATTCATTCATTCATAAAACAACAAAATGATGAAATATAATTTTCTTAAATAATTTTCTGGATTTTTTTTATTATATATACATATTAGAAGCGAGAAACATGGGAGGATCTACCTTTGTTGCTGTGGAATTCATTCAACACGGTATTTATACTACTACAGGTACTTCATCTATCTGTCCTGAGTTGTTAATTAAATGCTACTACCTCCGTCCCATTTTATAACGCCTATTTCGGTTTACGATGTTTGACTGAAATTATTTTCAAACCATTTTATATGACAAATGGTATAGAATTAAAAAATAAAAATTACATATTAAAAAACTACATCAAAAGATCTACAAAACTAGTAGTGACAATAATATTTTATTTTATCAAATTGCTAACGAAAATAGAGAAAGAAAGTAAATGAAGTTTGACCCTGTGAATAGTAAACATGCATTATAATTTCGGACGGAGGAAGTATTTAATTAATTATGGAGTATATTAATTCATTTTACTTTTTCCATTATATCAATGAATCCAAAAATTCATTCTTTTTTAAAAAAATTGGAGTATGAATGATGAAATAAAGTAAATTAGCTTTTTAAATTATCTACTCTTCTTTTAATAGTGAAGTAGAAGTTAGTCAATGCAACTACTGCCAGTGTAGATCCTTCCATCCGCCTAGACGAAATATTGGGCCGAGCACTTGATCCGGCCGCAAAAGAGGGGGACTTGGAATCGGGTTTTTGGTCTACGGGTCAGTCCGGCCCGTAAAAAATGTGGCTCGCAAACTTGAAGGTCGGGCTCAAGTGTTATGTTTGGGCCCGCATGTCGCACGGTCCATTAATAATAATAATAAATTAATAATAATAATAATAATAAATAAGTAATAATAATAATAGTATTAATAACAACAAAACAACAACAACAATAACAACAACAATAATAGTAATAATAATCGGTATTAATTATTATACAAACATGCCTACATACCTCTAATGAGGAAAAAAGACAACTAGTTTTTTCAATCAAATGAACATGAACTTATCATTGTAAATCGCATTAGTAATTATCTTTAAATAACAATAACATATACGGAGTACAAAATAACATTGCATATGTTGGTTATTATTGTGACAGTGTATTCATTATAATTATTATATACGCAGTAGAACATTTTATAAGTACATACTCTCTATTTCGTATTAATATTCCGCAATAAAGTGAACTATTTATGGGTTACACCATTTCCCTATATCCTTTGCAATACAGTGAACTATACAATTCCACTTTCGCAAGAAGTAGTATATATTAAGATATATTTTTTATTTAAATTCTATTTTTTGGTATTTTTTAAAAAAATATTTTTAATGGATGCGGGCCAAGCGGGCCTAAAGCTCGTTGTTAGAACGGCTATGTGGGCCAGAGCCCAACCTAGAATATAAAAAAATAATAATAATCTCATAATATGCATGATACCATTGAGTTTGGGTAGGAAGTGATGTCAGCATACAAGAAGTTAGCTCCCTCAAAGATGACCGCCAGAGAGTCTACCCGTGTTTGCAATGCCATTGCACTATTTCAGGTTCTTAATTTGTCTTTTCCCGATAATTTTACTTTACATGATTTGTAACTTTTTCATGGGACAAAGGGAGTACAATAAATCAATTTCATCCACCGGCATAACTCAGGTGGTCGAGAAGGTTGCGCCGCACCGGTAAATTTGGGATTGACTCCCAATGACGGTGATAGATTAAAGAATGATCATGTCATGCATGAGATTCTTGCACGTAAAAAGAAACAGACCATATTTTCTCTCAATCTAGTTTAGTTTGCTTCCTCTGACTGAGAACTCGAGGACGGGAATTCAACCTTTTATTTTATATAAATCAATTACACCGATGATATTCACGAATGTACCCCTCACCGGCATGCAGTGCATAGCTAGTCACCCGCAGACAAGGATGGAATTTGTCAAAGGTCAATCTTTTTTTTTTTTAATTTTTCTCTTTTTTTTTAACTCCCCCGACCAAATGAATTACTACTAATAATTCTATTTGCTATCCATTTTTGCAGCTAAGATAACATTTTATCTCCACCCATTTCTTGCAATAACTGCAAATGGCGACAAGCCTTTGGAGTTGATGAGGCTTACTAGTTTAGGTGTATTTGGCGCCCTAGTGAAGGTCATTTACTAATTATTAGTAATAATATTCTCATTATAATTAATTATTATTATTATTATTATTATTACTATTAGTAGTAGTAGTATATGAAATGCTAGCAGGGGTTGAATTTTAAATTATTAAAATAATATAATTTCATATGCCCCGACGTCTTAAATTAATTTTTTTCGGTGCAGTCTGAGGATGGAGATGGGAAACAAATTGTCCATTTTCTTCTAAAATCTGAGGTCTTCCCCATGTGCCTACGTTGCATGGATCTTGGTGATGAACTTACTCAAACTGTGAGTTGATTAAATTAATGATTTTTTTTAAAACAATCTTACAACGTTTAGATAAAAAAAAACGCAAAAATCAAAATATAAAATCGTGCACTGCTAGCTCCTATATACAGAGAGACAGAGTAGAGTTTCTAAATTAAAGATGAGAATGGTGCAAGTATTGGGACGAGTACGGGGACCGGTTCTTCTCATTGGTGCAAGTATTGGGACGAGTTGTGGAAAAACTCCCCGAGAGGCGGCCCAGTTTGTGCTTATTGAGACTCCTCATTCGCTGTTACCTCAGGCTCTCCCAATCTCCAAGGGCAATGGATGCCTTCAAGAACTGTATCCCTGCAAGAATGACCCAGGAGAAATTCATCAATTTTCTTCGTGTGAGCCACAAGTGAATCTGTTCTTTACAAAAACTTCTGAAACGTGCACCTTTTGAAATGCAAATATATATGTATGTATGTATGAGAGTGTGTGCAACTAAATAAAGAACATTTTGCATGCAGGAAGATCCACAGAGTGCAAGGATGCTGCAACAACTATTCCTCAATGTCACAACCCGCCAGATCGAATAGTCAAAAAAGAAAGGCCGCTTATATTAAACTATATATAATATCTAAGACTTGCGTTATTTTATGTTGTGGGTGGTGTTTTACCATGATAGAATGCCATGCAGACTGTTTTCAGTTAAGGGATTTATGGTGTACTTGTAACATTAAACATTGTATTATCCTATGTAATGAAATCATAATGTTGAGTTCTTGACTTTCTTGGCTGAAATCAAGTTTACAAAATGCTTTTCATTTCAGAAAATTAGGAAGGTTGAACAATTTCAGCTATAGATATATTTATCTATCGCAGCAAATAAGATCCTCATATTTATTGCAATAAGTCGGAGAGAAACCAGAAATGCAGTCAAAAGACAAACTTGGCCATAATTATAGTTCATCAGAGACTGAAGGAGAGAAAGATACATTGTTAATGAGGTGGATTACTATCTGATTTGGGGGGAATGGATAGATTGGTCTCGAGCATGAAAGAGAGATCATGCATCTGTGACAACAAACTTTCTACTATATCTTCATTGCCACCTGACTGGTTTGAGATTGTGTTATTCCTCAATGCAACTCCTCCACCATCCAGCAGACCTTTTCCGGTGCCGTTATCATCCAAGCTGCTGCTGCTGAAAATGCAAGAAACAATTGCATTAATGAAGGCGGCCATCAAACATTAAGGGTCTGTTTGGATGAACGGTTTTGAGGGAATTTAGAGATTGGGTGGCTTATTATATACATAGTACTTTGATGAGTATAATGTTTCTAAAAACAAACAATAAAGTTATATGATCACCTATGCTATACATTCAGTTTTTGCAAAATAATGTGTATCTAGATATAAAGTTAACCCCTCCAAAAGCCTGCAAAACCCTCCATCCAAACTAGCCATATGGGGATGATGATAACCAGACAATCATAAAAAAATAATCAATCCAACACATAAATATTGTGCCAAAAAGGGTGACCTATATAGTTGTCTATATATGTTTCATATTCCACAAGTTCAAGCGCCCCAATTAAATATCGCAAAGCATCAGACGGGTCATGAACAAAATCATCAAAATCACCTAACTTAAATCAAAGAACATCTACAAACCTGCCCGGGAAGTGATTTTGTTCAGGACCCCTAGTCCCTGATTCAGAAGCACTTTCTTTATGATGTGAACTTAAAAAGTGTTCCGCATGCCAGAAGCTGCCAAAATCCATATCACCGAACTCGTTAGAGCTACTAACCATGTTTGACTCTAGTGTGTTTCCCAAAGCATCCACAACACCATCATTCTTTGATATGAGAGTTGATGCCATAAAATCATTCCAATCATCAAACATACTTCCATCAACATTTGTCAAACCATAACTGAGTTCATTAGCATTATCAGATACTAAATTATCCAAAGGAACCTCAGCGTGATTATCAATTTGTATGATTTCCTTTTCTTGAGGAGTCTTGACATTGCTTGAGCTGGTAAAATCATTCCACTCATCAAAGGAATCTTCATCTATGTTTTCCGCACTGGAAAAACTGGTTGGCCACTGGTCATCTTGAACCCAATCAGCCTTGGTAGGAGAAGTGTTCAAACCGTTTTGTTGAAAGTCATTCACTTCAATCTTTGAGTCAAATGGCTTTTCTGGCTGGAAAACTTCAGTTGTAGCAGTATTCCACAAGTCATCTGAACTCCAATCACTTGTTCTATGCAATGTTTCAGACTCACTCCCCTCTTTAGTTCCATACAAGTCTTTCCCATTTCCAAAGATGGAATCCATGTGGTCAGAAAGATCAATGGCAGAACCTACAACAAAAGCATCAGCTGATTGGAAACTCCCAACTTGACTCCCAGAATTAACTGTAGAATCAGAGACGGGATCAAATGTCTTAGAATCAGCAGACCTAAAATCTGCCTCCCATCCACAAAATTCACCACTCTCGTGGGTTTGTGATGGGACAGCTTCTTGTTGAAGGGGCTGAACATTCTGAAACAAATTATGATCAAGAATACCAACAGTTTTAGCTTCTTCATTTTTGGGCGGGTGAGTGGTATCACCAGAAGTATTATCACCCCTTTGTCTAGGGAAAAAACTGTCAAGGTCAACCCCGCCGTTATTCAACAAGCTGCTGCCCTGTAGCTCCTGGTTTTTTTCTGGCTTTTCCTGCTTGTTGAATAATCCTATTTTAATGTCTAAGAGCTCAGACAAGGAAATGTTGTTTCTTGATGTACTATGTCCTCTGTTAAACCCGGGCTTTTCGCCCTTCTCACTAGGTGTTCCAACTTTTTCCTGCAAACCAATAGCAGCGTGTCACTGACTGGAGAATCACTCTTATGCTAGTCTGCAATGCAAATGCTTATTTAAGCAATAGCATAATGAAATGAGTAAATGATTCAAACAAGACATTAACAGAAAAAAAATAAAGTAGAAGGCAAGTATTAGCTTTTCTTGATTGACCAATTGCTGCACTGCACAAGTATACACATTTCAGCTTGACGGGAAAGAAAAATTAGCATATGATGATTTGAGTTGGTTAGTCCAAGTGTCTTAATCTTTCTCATCAAAAGAGATAAAAAACCAAAAGTAGAATGCATACTGCCGGGCATCGAACATCCATGTTGCTCATCAGACGATGAATAAAAAGCCAAAACAACTACAGAGTATTAGCAAGATATCACTTTTGAACCCTCACTTCTATGTTCTTTCAAAAAACCCGGTAGAAAACACAAAGCTAGAAACCCATCCACTGGTCTGATTAAGGTCTCTTTACTTTTATATCCTTGCAGCATCAAATTTGCAAGAGTTCCATTTTCAAATTACAACTGTACATTACCACATTGTCAGTTATCTCGGGCAACAGTTATCTAATTAACCCCTTCATAAATAACCGTGATTCAGGCTAACCCGATCCATACCCGCCATCAACTCATAGTTTTGCCTTCATGGGCATGTCTTAGTTAAAAGAGCATTAAACCAATACATTGTCAGTCAAATCATCTCCTTCATATTTGCAAACTCCAACTTGTATGGCATACTCATTAAATACACAATTCTAAGCATAGTAATTTGGCTCTCTAAAGTCGGGTTGCAATTCTTAAAACAACGCATTTATGAGTCTCTCCTTCAAGATGCAAGATTTGACATACCGATCCATCAAGCCGAAGTGACTGGAGCAACCAGCGGCAGCTAAGAGTGGAGTTGAAGGAAATGGGATCGGGGGCAGATGGGTCGTCATTCTGGTGCTGTTTCTGGCCGCAGTAGATGCAAATCAAAGACTGGAGCCCCTTGAGAAGGCGCCCTCGGCAGCGCTTGCAGCGGAGGTAGGGAGGCGAAGGGTCGAAGTTGGCAATGGCGTCGGAGATAGAAGGCAGTGGGGGGATGCTCGGGTCTTTCGGATCGTAGTCCGGTAAGCCGGACTCCGTCCGGGTCAGGATCTGGACTTGCCGGATCAGATCAGTTAGGGCGTCGTGAGACATTGGAGAATTGCACGTTAAGAAAGTTATAGAATTGCTAGGGTTTTCAGTGTTCTTGTGCTCCCAGCAATGGCTAAACTTGGCGCCTTCACTTCAATCAGAGATCACTGGCGGACAGAAATGTAGACGGAGAATTTAGAATTCTGGATCCCTGATTTCCATTCGGATAACCCGACCCTTACAATCTCGATCCAATTTGTCGGGTCTAAGGATCTTGCCCATATTGTCTAGCTAGATCACGTACCTCCCCTTCATCCCAAAATTATGTCTTGTTTTGGATTATTAGACCATGTACTCCCTTCGTCCCAAAAAGTCTTTCCTGTTTCATTTTTTGCGCATTCCATAAAACATTTTTACCAACATCTAAAATGTCTAAAATTTACAACATTTCTTCTTTATTGTGGGTAGAAGTTATTTTGAAAGTTTTTTGGGCATTCAAGGTGGGATAGAAGTGTTTTATGAAATGCGCAAAAAATGAAACAGGAAAGACTTTTTTGGACGGATGGAGTATAATGGTTTAGAGACCATATGTGTAAAGACCATACGTTATCGGGGGTTACTTGCACCTTGGGTGAGCTGGTCACGCCCCGTCATGGCCTGACGCCGACGACAGGACCAGCGTGACACCTCGGGCTTGAGTGCCACCACAGAGATTGTCTCACTGCCTTTTCGTTGGATTACTTGTTTTAATTTTTTTAAAATTTAGTATAATTGTGGAGTCCAGAAGTTGCTTATAAATTGAACGAAGAGGAATGGGAAGCTCACCCCCCAAAAAATAGGGTGAGCAAAAAAACTGGACTGACTGCAAAACCGAAATAACTGGTTTTTCGGTTCTGATTACCTATTTTTAAATTATTGATTTTTTTCGGTTAATTCGATCAGTTTTTGGTTCTTTATGTAGATTTATTCAGTTAACCGAATAACTGGGATTTATACTCACCCCTAATGTTTGTTAAATTAATATGGCCCATTTTTAAGTCCAAATAAGTGAATTGAGCCCAACTGTATTGCTATAATCCTTTATCCCTTCTATTTTCAAGACTCGTTTTTTGATATTTATCCCTTTTTTCAATTATTGCTTAGTTCTACTTCTTTTATTAATTAATCTACAAATTGAACTATTAAATAATTTTTTACTAATAAAATCTGTATTTAGTAAATCTTAATTTTTTTACTAATTAAATCTGTAAATTTTTAAAAATTGGTGTCTTAAGTATGCCTTTTTGGATTTTTGTAATTATAGTTTACTTTTATTTTTTATTATTTCATGATTAGATCAAAATTCAAAGTCGGTTTGGTTATTTTCGGTTTCGGTTTATTCAGTTTTAGCACAAGGTCAGTTCGGTTTGGTTGGTTATTATGAATCATATAATATTCTGGTTAGTTCAGTTTTGGGCTAAAACTGATCGTACCGACCAGATCTCACCCCTACCCAAAAATCAACTACTATAGGTATTTCGTAGAAAAAAATGAATTTGGATGAACAAAACAACTAGTTCTCATATATCTTTCGACGAGGACGATTCAGCGTTTTTGTTTCTGCGTGTTGTTGAAGTTACGGTAAGCACTATCATAGCTATTTCAAATGAAAATTCCTCCCAAGAGATTACGCATCGGAGAAGGATCAACCGCAGTCGTGGTGCTACAAACCAGAAGATTTTTTCAAAAATTCTAGTTTATAACAACGATCAACTTAAACGTCATTTCCGAATGAGTCACAATTTATCCAATTCAATTATCAGTGATAGAGAATGATCAATAATTGCGAAAGATGTCGCCCTCATATTGATATCTCCCAAATTTTGGAGATATGGAGACTCTCAATTTGAAGAATTTATGATACTTGAAGATATCAAATTTGATATCTTTTTTGGCTTCACCAAACACCTAAAAAAATTTAATATCTGGAAATATCAAAACTTATACCATGTTTGCTCACCAAACACACCCTAAACATTGAAAAACAATTGGAATGCTGTATACAAACTTTTTTATTAAATCTTCAAACAAAGTGTAATGAAAACATCTTCAATAATTTAGAAGGTAACATATTAATTTACAAATGTTATGAAGTTAGATAAACGAATAATAGTGTTGATGAATAATTGAATATTTAAGTCGGTATACTAATGAGGAGAAAGACCAAAGTAAGACTAAAACATTAAAAATATATAAAATTGGGACTTCTATGTTTTTATTCTCGAAATAGGACTTAAAATGCATTTAAATTACCAAACATGGTCATGTACATTAATAAAAGTATAGTAATGTACACATGTAGAGTACTATTTTAATATTTTTTTCTATATTTCACAGTGTGAAGTCCTATTTAAAAAATCATGAAAGTACTATTTTAATACTTTTTACTATATTTCAATCCTATTTAGGATGATTTTTAATACTAATGTGTTTTACAAATTCCTTAGTATTATTCTAGTTTTAATTTTTTTGGATGAACTATTTTTAATTTTTGACATATAATTAAATAAAATGACGAAACAATCCTGTAGAAAAATGGCCATAGCTGCTATTCCAATTGCAAGTTGCAACCGTTCAACTTTTCTGAATCGGAACACCTCACACGCTTCAATATGGATTTCTGGTGCTGCGTATTCTTCAAAGTAGTACGAAATATGCCTTTGAATGAATAGAGAAATGTTAAGGGTAGTAATTAATAAGCATTTCACGATCGAACAATAATATTGAAACCAACACAATGTTCAAAGATGAAAAACCATTTCAAAACACACCATCCATTGCATAACATAAAATAAAACCACACAATTAACAACATGACGCCCCGGAGAACAGAAGAGAGAAAAAAAGAGGAGAAAAAAAATGAAGACTCAGTTCATCTTCATTAGATTATTAGATCGGTCATCCAGATGTTCATTGATTTCAAGCGATTTTGACATCAATGGTCCTCGGCTTCTTCGGCTCCGGAGGCGGCAGCTTCTCCACCGTCACAGTCAGCACTCCGTCCTGGCAAACCGCCGATATCTTCTCCAGATTCGCGTTTTCCGGCAGAGCAAACTTCCTCATGAACTTCCCCACCCTCCTCTCCATCCTCACATACTTCACCCCATCCTTCTCCTCCGCCTCGCGCTTCCGCTCCCCGCTGATGGTCAGGACGTTGTCCTCCTCGATCTGCACCTTGATGTCGCCGGACTTCAGCCCCGGCATGTCGATGATGAAGACGTACGAGTTCGGATACTCCTTCACGTCCGCCGGCGTCGCCGCCATGGCCTTCGCGTCGAGGACGAAGGTCTGCGACGGGGCGTTGGACGACTTGTCATCCGCGGCGTGGTCGATTATGTGGTGGAGAGTGTTCAACAGCGGATCGAATCCCATCAGCCTGACATCCATTTCTGCAAGATTTCTGTGCTTCTTCTTCGCGTAGAACTCTATGAATCTGTGAAATGTGCTTTGATTTCGCTGGAAAAAGCGATGCGGTTAGGGATTTATAGTAGAAGAGGAGAAGATTCGGGAAGAAATGGGGGCAGAATGTTTCTAGCAGTTTCTGGGTTCTAGAAATGCTTGGAGCCGTTTCTTTTCTACTCATTTCTAGAAGGCTCTAGCACAAACTGGACAATTTATTAGGCATTTGTTTTTTTTTGTTTTGGGTTTAGATAGGGACGTTTTATTCTCTCTTCGAAATAATACAGTTTGACTTCACAAAACATTTAAAAAGTATTAAAAACAGGGAAAATATGAAAATATTTGTGGGTAACATTAATTTGAAAGAGATAGAATGAATAATATACTCATATTTAGGGATGTTCAAAAATATTTAATTTGGATAATCCATCCACGATTCAGTTGATTCGATTCGAAAAAGTAGATATCCAATATGATATTTTAGCTTTCGGATATTTCTAATCGAATATTCGAAAAAAAATTGGGTTAGATATGGAATGAAGTCCTAAGGTTTCAAGGAAATCCAAAATTCATTTAAAAAAAATAAATATAAAAATAAACCTCACACAAACCTAAGTCTAATTTATTTTTATCATCATAAATCTTTAAATCTAAGCCTAGTTTAAGTTTTTTACTCTAGTTTTTTTTGTTTGAGCTTTATTTGTCAACAATTATATGCATATTCTTTTTCCATATATTTAAAAGATTATGTAGAAATCATCATAAATAGGACTAAAACATAGAGAAAAGTACCAAAATAGGACTTTCATGTTTTTTTCTCAGAATAGGACTTTGCACTGTGATAATGTGACTTTGCATTGTGGTAATGTGGCAGTGCACATGTGCAAATTACTATACTTTTTTGGTAATGTATATGACCATGTTTGGTAATGTTAAGTCCTATTTTGGGAATAAAAACATGGAAGTCCTATTTTGGTATATTTTCAATGTTTTAGTTCTACTTTAGTATTTCTCCCAAGATTATGACGCATGGCATGATAACACTGTCAAGGCAAATATGACATTTAAAACACATTTGACTTCAAATTTAACTCTAATTTACGACCTTCACTATTTTAACAAAAACTGGTAAAAAATCATTCCAAATTTTTTTAATTATTGGAAAAAATGAAAAAATTAATACTCCATCTGTCCTATAATGATCTTCCCATTTCGCAAAACGAAGAAAAATCTCAAGTTTTTTCAATCTATTTTATTTAAATATTGATATAGAAATAAAAAATAAAACATACACATTTAAAAACTACATCAAAAGTTCAACAAAACAAGTGCTGACAAGAATATTTTATTTCATCATATAGGTCATGAAAAAACACAAATAAATATAAATTCCCGTGAAGTTGGAATAGTGCTTTGAGAAGATCATTACAGGACGGAGGGGGTATAAAAATTTGTTTCAGACACTCAATTGATCTAATCTAAAATTACGGACATCAAAAACTCAGATATCCGGTAATTTCTGTGTCAAACATAGAATAGATATTTGTCACTCCAAAAATTTCGAATATCTAAAGAATCAAATCAAACTGGATTGAATAGATCTGAATGACCACTTCTACTCATATTTGTGGGGGTAGTAGCATGAGTGCCCTCTAGGGGTTTTGGTTTACAAAAGGAGCGTCAAAACCCCTCATACTTTTAAAAGTTATTTGTAAAACCCCCGTGGTTTTAAAATAGTGCACAAACACCCCCTCTTGCCTATTTTAGATATGAAATGACATTTCTGCCCTTCGTTTTTCTCTATCATCAAATTCACTCTTTTCTTTACATTTTTTGTTATACAAATAAATAAAATAAAATATACGCCCTCTTTCTCAAATTAAAATTTTTCATTTATTTAATTTTCAAAAAATAATTTTTTATAGAAAATGTTACAAAAATGAAATAAAATACACTTTTTCATTATAACTAAAAGTAAAATAAATAAAATAAAAAATTGGATAACATATACTCACTCTATCTCTAATTAAAAATTCTAGATTATTTGTTTTTTAAAAGTAAAATAATTTTTTAAGAACTTAAAAAAATGAACAATAAGATGAAATAAAATACTCCCTCCGTCCCGAAATAGATTACAATATTCTCTCACATTTTTGTCCCAAAAAGAATTACAAAGTCAATAACTTTACAAGGAATTAATTTTTTACCCTCTCACTCCTACACTATTCACACACTATTCATCCATGTGAGTGGGAAGGAAATTTGGGGGATTTGGGGGGTAATTTGGGAAAAAAAATTTGATTTGACTCTTCCTTAATTTCAACAAAAAATGAATATTGTAATCTAAAGTGGGACGGAGGGAGTATGGAGTTAAAGAAAAAGACAATTTTTTATATTTTTATTTCTTTTCATTACCTTTTTTAACTATTATTACTTTTTACTTTGTACATAACATTTTATTTTTCATTTTTTTGCAACATTATTATCCAAAAAATCTTTTGTTTTCAAAAGTACATTATGAAAAATTCTAATTTGAGATGGGAAGCGTATATTTTATTTTATATATTTGTTTAATAAAGGAAATTGAAATTGGAAAAATTCAAGATCAGGAAAAACAAATGGCATAAATGTCATTTTTGCTTTAAAAATAGGTAAAGGGGGCATGTGTGCTCTATTTAGAAACCACAGGAACTCTACAAATAACTTTTAAAAACAGAAGGGGTTTTGACGCCCTTTTTGTAAACCACATGGGGCATCCATGCCATTAACCCCATATTTGTGATACGAAAAGTCCCAGACCCATGCACAGGGGAATCAACGACCATGGGAAACAATCTGACTTGGAACCGGAAGGTCACGAGGGGTTGCAAAGCAGTACTTTGATAGTTTGATTAGAAGAACCCTGGTATGGCACATCAACTACGGGGTGTGACACCGTATTTGGTTATATTATTCGTATCTACTATCTACTACTCCGTCTCAGAGTATTTATTCACTTTCATTTTTACACATTATTCAATTCACTTTTTTAATTCATTTTATCTTGTCCACATTTGACTTTTAGAACTGTTCATTTAAGCATTTTGACTCATCAAATTCTCTCAATGTGTAAGCCTAAATATAATCATGTGTGATCTTGTTTGATTTCTCTTAACATATAGATTATTAATATATAATTTTTATAATTTTTTAATATACAAATTACAAGATAAAATGAATTAAAGAAGTGCATTGGATGGTGTGTAAAAATGAAAGTGGACAAATACAGGGGGACGGAGGGAGTATATATTAAGACAAATCAAACAAGATCATACATGACTATATTTAGGCTTACACATTGAGAGAATTTGATGAGTCAAAGTGCTTAGAGCACTCGGTATACCCTTCACGCCCGGTTAGAATATATAAATAACTATTTCTGGGCCACAACCACAAACTTGAGCTTTTGGTTGAGTTGGTTCCTTGGCATGGTATCAAAACCTCGTTGGCTAAGAGGTGACAGGTTCGAAACTCAGCGCCACCCAATTTTAAAAAAATTAAGATTTCACGTGCAAGGCTCGAAAAAGATGCCTGCACGTGAGGGGCGTGTTAGAATATAAATAACTATTCCTAGGCCACAACCACAAGCTTGAGCTTTTGGTTAAGTTGGTTCCCTGACACGCCCACCAACGTTATGCCACTTTTCACGCCCGGGAGGCGTTAAACACCGCCCCCTTGCGACGTTATCAGGGCGTTATGGCACCTGCGTCATTCGTTTGACGTGGCGTTGCTTCCGAAATTTAGCCATTACCCCCCCCCCCCATTAAAAAAAATCTAAATTTAAAAAAACCTATAAAATCTCTCTATCTCTAACACATTTCTCTCACACATTTCTCACTATCTTCTCTCTAAAATATTTATTATTTATTATAAATATTTATAAAATATATTTTAAAAATGGGATCATCTTCATCCAACGATGAAAAAAGAACTCTCTTTTTTTGTTGTTTCGCCACAAGTTGTATTCAATGGTGGGAAGAAGGCCAAGAAGAAGAAGCCGAATCCTTTCGACGACGGACCCGACGACAACGTTTAAACCGGGATCGAGCAGCCGCCCACACTTCACTTCTAAACGACTGCTTTAATGATCCGTGTGTTTATACACCGGAGGATTTTAGTAATCATTTTCGGATGAGTCGTCCTCTCTTTTTACGCATACTCGTCGATGTTGAATGCGATGTTCCTTGGTTCACCCAACGCTTTGATGTGAGAGGCCGACGCGAGTTTAGTAGCGTCCAGAAATGCACTTCCGCGCTCCGAGAGATTCACAATGCACTAACGGCAGATTTGATCGAACATATCTTTAGTCGCTCGAATAATTAGTGATTTCTTTATAGTGTTGTTTTTTTATGTAATATTTTTTTAATGAATGTAATTTTTTTATGGATGTATTTTTTCATGAATGTAATTTTTTTAATGCACTAGTCTCATTGCGATTAATTCAAATAATAAATTAATTACATTTTATGAATTTAATTTTAGAAGATGTATATTTAAAAATGTAAAAAATGAAGGTTGAAGCTCCGGGGCTTCAAACCCATTTCCAGTGAATTTTGGGTGTATGTTAAAGCTGACGTGGCAGAGAGAGAAAGTTTGAAGCCCTAGGGCTTCAAACGTATTTTCAGTGCCCTTAGATGAACAGTTCCAAAAGTCAAAAGTGGACAAAAACTGGGGGATGAAAGGAGTATATATATAAGAGCAGAATGGAAATATTGCAAAATTGAGGCTTTATTTTGCTGCCAAGTTGGAAAGTAAATTCCACTATTTACTCTATTATTCATTTACTCTATTTCTCAGTAAATGGTAAATTCATTGGGTCACATGTGCCCATTAAAATGGGAAGAAACCAGAAATTACATTGAAATTGTGCATTGTTTATTTACTTTATTTCACGGATATTTTTGTGAAGGAACCAATTCAACTAAAAGTTTGAGTTTGTGGTTGTGGCCTAGGAATGATTGTTATATACAGGCGTAACCTTTTGAGCCTTGCACGCGAAGCCTTAATTTTTTTAAACTGGGTGGCGATGAGTTTCGAAATCATGACCTCTTGGTCATCAAGGCTCCGATACCATGATAGAAATTAGGATGTGGCAGGATCATTGGATTGAGTAATAAGACAATTGGGTTGAACCACATTAAAATATTGAATTTAATCAATTAGTTAGTTCAACTCAAAAGCTTATATACCGAATAGTTTTCTCATATTTTTCCGATATGGGATGCTCTTTAACACTCCCCCTTAAGTGGACAACCGGGTCATTTTGAATCTAACCGGTTGACCACTTGCAAATGAACTCTCATTCCCTTGACTTTTTTTTTGAGTGCCAACACCTAAAGGACCACGAGCCGCTGGGTATGGACTTCCAGACGAGCAATCGTGTTAAACAAGCCACAGGTCGTTGGGTACATACTCCATATGGACAATTGGGCTAAAGACTAACGGGCCGCTAGGAATGAACGTCTAGACGGACACCTTGACAAATGAGGTGGGCCAAAACCTGCTCTGATACCATGATAGAATTTAGGATGGGTATGGACAACTGGATTGGGCTATAAGACACTTGGGCTGAACCAGATTAAAAGATTAATTGAATCTAATCTATTAGCTAGTTCAACTCAAGAGCTTATATACCGATTAATTTTCTTGCACTTTTGTAATCTGATTCAGAAAAAATTATGTCATGGTTAAATATTTACAATCACCAAACTTGGAATTGAAACATAATTAAATATACCAAGCTTCACATTCAAATATAATTGCAGATTGAATTATTTTCACATCTTCTTTTATTGAATTTTTTATATTCTTCTGAAATATATAATTTTTATATTTATTCCTATACCAATTTGTATAGAAAATCATTTTTGAAAGAAATAAAATTTTACATATTTTTTTTACATATTGTTCGAAGTAAAATAATAATTTTGAGACGAAGAAAGTATATGTTAAAAGTATCATAAATACCTCACATCCAGATGTATAAATGTATTCCATATAATATAAAAACTCTAGTTATGGAGGGCTTTTTGAATAAGAGCAAAATTTATGTAAATACCAAAATAGTAATCATAAACTTTTAAGATCAAAATGAAAATCTACATTGTCATTGCTATAACATCACGACTACACTACCATTCGTCGACTTCAATTACGAGAGCATCACAGTCGAATGATCAATCATGTTACCATATCACACTATCATCTGTCTTATTTTGTCTTTTTGAAGTCAACCAATATTGTTTTTTATTAAATAAAAATTACTCCATCTGTTTCGAAATTATCTTTCAATTTAACTCAACATAATTTCCAATACAGAGAAATATGGGAGGTTGGTTGTGTAGAAGAAAGAGAATTGATATGAATCATGTATTTGTTTCCGTAAAACGAAACAATTTTTTTAGAGAACTCAAATAGGAAGGGATTGAAATAATTAGGGGACAAAGGGAGTATATGGTTTAATAGGTATTTAAAAACAATATTTTGAAAAATGTTTTACAAACTAAATCTAATAAAATATTTTTTATATATAAAAGCTATATGATACCCTACCTATTAGGTACTTCTCCGTTCAAAAAAAACATGTCACACTTCATCTTTTAAAATTTACGGAATTTTTTACTTACTTTACGTTTTCATTGATTATTTCATAAAATAAAATATTATTGTAATCTTACCTTGAAAAATTTCGAAAATGAGCTTCTAAACGTTACTACTCCCTTCGTCCCCAATTAGATTACAATTTTTTTTTCTCTCTTCTCGATAACTTTTGTTTGTTTACGCGATTTCATTAAGTATTTGATGAAAAAAATATTCTTGTCACCTTTTGTTTTGTAAACTTTTGACGTATTTTTTTAATATGTAATTTTTATTTCTTATCGATATACTGATTTGTAAATAAAATGATTTCAAAAAGTGAGTTTTTTTTTTTCGAAATTTCGGGTAAACTTTTGTACTCCCTGCTCGGCACTCTCCGAGCCTTCTAGAAGTGATAAGAAAGGAACTGGACCTTCCATTTATCTGTAGAACCTGCTAGAAACTCACCTCAGTTTCTTCCCGAAGCCTCTTTTCTTCCTGTATAAATCCCTAACCGTCAGCCGGTTTTCAGACACTACCAATCAGCGCAATAAACTCAATTTTCAGTTTCGAGATTTTCTGCCGAACACACAATTTCACACAGCAATGGATCTCAGGTTCGTGCCGCTCGATCATCCGCTCATCAACGCCTTCCACCACATGATCGACCACGCCGCCGCCGACGACAAGTCGTCCAACACCAGCGCCCCGTCGAAGAAGTATGTCCTCGACGCGAAGGCCATGGCGGCGACGCCGGCGGACGTGAAGGAGTATCCGAACGCGTACGTCTTCATCATCGACATGCCTGGGCTGAAATCCGGCGACATCAAGGTGCAGATCGAGGAGGAAAACGTCCTGACTATCAGCGGGGAGCGGAAGCGCGAGGCGGAGGAGAAGGAGGGGGTGAAGTATGTGAGAATGGAGAGGAGAGTCGGGAAGTTCATGAGGAAGTTCGTGCTGCCGGAAAATGCGGATCTGGAGAAGATATCGGCGGTTTGCCAGGAAGGAGTGCTGACTGTGACGGTGGAGAAGCTGCCGCCGCCGGAGCCAAAGAAGCCGAGGACCATTGATGTCAAAATTGCTTGAACATCTGGATCTATATATAAACCAAGTCGTATGAGTGCTCTGTTTCTCTTCCATGGAAGTTTTGATTATGCGTTTTTACTTTTGGTGTTATGCAATGCAATGTTTGTTTTGAAATCTTCATCTTGAATATCAATGTTCCATACTCATTTCGCCAAGTTTTTTACGATTTGAATTTTCTCGTCTTCATCTTTATATACACTCACCAATTGAATTTACACCGAAGGCATTCCCGGTTCGGCAGCCGTCGACGAGGTCAGTGGAGGCATGGGTGCCACTGCTGACATGGGCATTGGCAACAACATGGGCTACAACGACAGTGGAAGTGGCGCCAATGACGAGAGAAAGTGTCAACCAAGGGGATTGACGTGGAAGAAAATTGTGACCTTCTCAAGAAAACAATCCGAAAGAAAATGAAAGTGTCACTTAAAATTGGAGGAGCTCTTATTTTAGATATATAAGCTAAAGACTCCAATTTTGAGAGTATGTGTAATGATTATGTTATATTAATACTTGTTTCAAAATTCATTAATATTTATTAAAAAATTAATTATGTTATGATACAAATTATAAAATTGATATTGTCACCATTTATATTAAGACAAACTTAAGAGAATCTCACATTAACTACTTTTTTTAGTTTCAAAATTATTGTCACGGTCAAGTTTGTGATTGTGACCCCAAAATAAAAGTTTTATATATACTCTAACATACTCCTTCGTCCCATTAAACATGAGATGTTTTGCTTTTTGAAGAGATTTAAGTGAGTGTATTTTGGTATTGAATTTCCAAAAATGTCTTTTGACGATGTGATGGGTAAAAATAGGATTTGATGGATAGATTATTAGTAAAAAAGTATGATGTGATAAGTAGGGTATGAAAAAGTAAGGGGTAAAAGTGACTTTTTAATAGAAATGAGAAATGTTTTGTGGGACGGGTGAAAAAAAAAGGAGGAAGGTTTTATAAGACGGAGGGAGTATTTATTATTCTGGTCCATTGATAATCTTCTGTTCGTATTTTTTACTTATTGTTTGATAAATTAAAATACTTTTTGTTATACTTTATTTTCTAAAATTTTTCATGTAGTTTTCAACATCTAATTTTACATTTCATTTCTATATAAATTTATAAATAATAGTTTACAGAAATGAGATTTTGCGCATTTTTTGAAGTGAGACTATAAATTTGGGAGAGGAATACTCCGTATTTCATAAATATTGAGCCAAACCAAGTACCAACCCTTGGAGCATTCTAGAAACAGCTGGAAAGGAACGGGTCCAACGGAGAACTTGCAACCAGTTCTTCCAGAATGTTCCCATTATTCCGGTTCTTCTAGAGTGTTCTCTTCATTCCGGTATACTCCATATAAATCCTTAACCGCATAGCCTATTATTCGCCATAACAATCGACTCCTTTTGCAGATCTACAAATTCATCTACCAAACCTTCACAGTTTTGCAGGAATCAGGAATGGATCCCAGGCTCTTCGGAATTGATCATCCGATCTTCAACACCCTCCACCAGATAATCGACTATGCCGCCGCTGCCGCCGCCGATGACAAGTCCTCCAGCGGCGGCGACGCCCCTTCTCAGACATTCGTTCACGATGCGAAGGCTATGGCGGCTACACCGGCGGACGTGAAGGAGTACCCGAACTCGTACGTCTTCGTCATCGACATGCCGGGGTTGAATTCCGGCGACATCAAGGTGCAGATCGAGGACGACAACGTCCTGACTATCAGCGGGGAGCGGAAGCGCGAGGCGGAGGAGAAGGAGGGCGTGAAGTATGTGAGAATGGAGAGGAGGGTCGGGAAGTTCATGAGGAAGTTCGTTTTGCGGGAAAATGCGAATCCTGAGAAGATTTCGGCGTCTTGCCGGGACGGAGTGCTGACTGTGACGGTGGAGAAGCTGCCGCCTCCGGAGGCGAAGAAGCCCAGGACAATTGAGGTCAAAATTGCTTGAAATCAACGAAAATTCGGATCTGGCTAAGCTGAAATAGAGTATATGAGTGCGCTATTTCTGTTCCTTATTGATTGTGCGTTTAATTTTGTGTTATGCAATGGAATTTTCAGTTACTCTTCATCTCGAAATAATGATTTTGTTTCTGGATACTTGAAGCATCAATATGAGGCGGATTTTAGGGCGCCTGCCTGTAACATCATCATTTCTTTAATCCGGAAAAGATTTTTTTGTTACAGGCTCATGCATTTTATTTTATTTGATTGTAGATATAAAATTTAAAAATAAAATTTCAATGGTAAAAAATTACATGAAATTTTTTAAAATAAGAGTTGACGAGACTATATTATTTTATTAAATAAAGTCATGTAGAATTCATGTGACTTTACATGAATTCTATATTTTTCTTGTCATGGTAAAGGTCGTTGTTAATTTATTATTTTTCTATTGGAGTCGCTGCCCACCAAAACTATAATTCATGTGTTGTCATTGGTCGAAATCAAAGTCTGTAGTTATACCTATTGTTCAGTTGTTTGTCAAACTAATACTAGAATGAATGGTTGGACTTAATGTCAATGTGAAATAAGACTTTTAGCCTTCAATTGTTTAATATCAACATAACAGAAAAGTCAAACAAAATATTATTTATGGAAAGATACTCGTAAACGAAAAGATCACAAACGTAATAGTTCAAGAGGGTGTATGTACAATAGTGACTTGATTATTGGTGGAGTTTGAAATTATATGGACATGTTCAAGGTGATGATAGAAAGAGTGTAGAGTGATTTCATTTATGCCCCAATAAGAATATTGGGGATAAGGTTAAATAAAAACTTAGTCTAATGCCTTTTCTTTGTGGACTAGGTTCAATATCTTGGGTCTAAGAAAATATTATTTCACTAACTTCAGACGGAAAAACAAGAAAATATGTATTCCCTCCGTCCGGAAATAATCTTTCTGTTTCTCCTTTTTCTCCGTCCGAAAATAATCTTCTCATTTCTAATTTTAACCACAATTCTTCCAAAAATACCCTTATCAATCAATTTCATTTACCCTCTCAAACTTCCTTCCTAGATCCATCCGTCCCGTCCCCCAACCTTTTTCTCTCTTCTCAATCGTTTTTCTTTCCTTTTGCTTCTCTTTCTTCTTCTTCTTCTTCTTCTTCTTCTTTCTCTTTGTCTCTTCCTCTTCCCCGTACATCTCATCTCTTCTTTCTCCCTCAGTCCCCCTCTTCTTCTCTTCTTTCTCACCCTCTTTTTTTCCTTCTTTTTCTCTCCCTTCTTATATCTCTTCCATCTTCTAGATCAGAGCATGACGGCGGCGATTGTGGCGGTGATGGAGACGGCGATAGTGAGTCTAGATCTGCATTTCTTCATCTTTTTCTTCTTCATCTTCTTTTAAATCTGCACCACGGTGCCGGTGGAGGTGGGGCTTGCGCCGATGGTTAGGATGCTGGCAGTTGAGTGGCGGCGATGGTGAGGAGAAATGAGTGTTGGTGTGATAGGCAGCAAAGGAGGTACTAGCGGCGATGGTTGGAACGGTGATTGTCGGCTAGTCAGGATGGGAGGGAGAGGGAGGGCATTTTAGGGAAATTACACCCATAGTTAACCCTTCAAAAAATGAAGAAAAGTCCAAATGGAAAGTTTTTTCCCGGACGGAGAGAGTATATATGTTTTTCTATTTCTTTTTCCACCCCAATAAAAGCGAGAAAGGTGTGGTGTTAGGATAGTCTTTCAAGTTTTTATTTTTTGCTTTTACTACACTACTAGATGTATCCCCTCTTTTTTATGTGATTTATAACAAATTAATAGAGAGGTGAAATACACATATTTTCTTTCCACCCTGTGTTATTGTGGGATAAAACATGATCATACGACTATTCAAAGAATACCATATACGGAGTAGTTCAATTGTAGTTCGAAATTTGTCATTAGCATATCATTTCAAAATTAAACTATAACATTTCATGTAAATGGTAAATCACTCATATTGTTCACATACATCTGTTAAGGATGAATGTTAACACAATTCAAGTTTTAAGGAAATTTTTAACTACAACACATGCTCATAATTTTAGCTACCAACCATATTTGAGAATAATACTAAAATTTCATATGTTATTAAACCTTAAAGATTAAGTTATTAAAAACAAACGTGGTGATGGAGATACGGGCTCGCCCCCCAGACGTGTAAGATTGGGCTCAGCCATGACAGGAAAGTACTGCCACACTTGGCCCATTCAGACCCCCTTGACCTGGCTTGGTGGCATTGGGCCTATGCTTTGGGCCCTCCATCTCGATCTGTCGATTAGCAAATCTGACACCAAGCTCGGCCTACAAGGCCCCCTCGGTGCCATATGCCAAGAAGGGAAGTCAACTCCTGGGGAATCGCAGGAGTTCAGTGACCAGAGGTGGGAGACGTCATCAGAGGGTGACTCGTTCCTGCACATGGTCAAATATGACCGGATGAAAAGTAATGTATCACAGGAACAACACAAATGTAATTAAGGGAGCCCATGGCCTCTTTGACTAAGAGTAGAGGGGTACGGACCCAAAATAGAATGTATAAATGAGGCACTGCCCAAAATGTGAGGGGATCAGATTCAGAATTAACTAATATGTATTACAAGCTTTCTCTCTATAATTTGTACTGCCTCCATTTTTAGAATCCATCAAGTGGAGTCAATTAAAATCCAAAAAGTAAACTTCAAACCAGTCCCACACTCCCACATTCATTACAATTGGTATAGCTTTTGGTTGAGACAAGAAAGAGCAAACTCGTTTGAAGCCTCTTTTTCTAGTGTTGTGCCATTTCAAATTAGTTTGATGTCATTTCATGTTGATATTTTGCCCCTAATATTTTGAAACGAATAAAGGGCACTTCTATATATGAACACCATATTGGAAGACTAATTTAAGATCTTACTCTAAAATTCAGGATTTAAACTTGTTCATACGCCTTCTTTTTAATTTTAATTTGGGTATCAAGGTCTATAGTTAAAGTTATTCACTAATTTGGGCATTTAGGAACTAACTCGTTTATTTATACAATGACTTACACTGGTTGTGAAGGTGTTAATTTAATTGGGTTTGACCGACAATTCCGAATAAAACCAGTCAGATATTTAGAGTTGGATGTATTGAAGAGTAAAGTAAGAAGACACTTCAAGTACGACTTAGACCAAGAAAATCTCACGTGTTCGAATATATTATTTCTTACTTTATCTCATGAATGTATTGGGCTTTGTGTGAGTAGAATTGAATGCCTTTCTTCCTTCTATAACGATCTATTTATAGAGTGGAGAGGTATATATATCTATAATTGTTAATTCGAAAAATACAATTTTTTGACTATTTAGCCATTGACTTATTGACATTGCAATGATTATCATATCAATCATTATCTATCATAGATTGAACTAAGTCGCCTATAATTGTTCACTCAAGTCTTGTTAACAGCGGGGTGGGTCCCTTGACCACATGTGCAGCAATGCCTCAAGTGGCGACCGTCACTTGATTGAGACTGTTCTAGTGGCTTTGTCTTTGGAACCTTAAAAGGAAACTCAATAAAGGGGTAGTTCTCACTAGATGAAGTTGGCCAATGTGATTGATCATAAATATCATGACCGGTCACCTTCTCGAGGTACTTGACTAGTCACTTTCCGTCGCTCCTCTTATGTCATTTTTAGCATCATTCATATTCGACCGAACATATTCTAACCGGTCACCTCTTTGAAGTTTGGCATGGGTATAAGTTATACCCATGAGGTTGATTTGACCACTATACCGTGCTTTATACAACTCTATAGTAGTTCTTTAATCTCCCAACCTTTTTTTAACACTGTCTCAATTTGTCCCTACACTATCTTTGGCCCTTCAATTACACCACCAATTAGATTGATATTTTGATAAAAATATTGACCGAAATGTTAACCAAATTAGGGACGAGAGCGGGCTATGACGAGGGGTTTTAAGGATATGATTATTTTGGGGTCAAATGTAAGTGTATGAAGTGAGTAAATTGACCATTGTAATAATACTCCCTCCGTCCCCCATAGATCTTCCCAATAGCCATTTTTCTTTGTCCACAATAGATCTTCTCATTTCATTTTTTAACAATTAAAATACCACAACTACCCCCACTTACTTTATTTATTACACCTCACCCACCTCATTTAATACACTCCATCCATTTTTCATTAAGGATATTATGGTAAACTTTCACCTTTTTCAACTCTCCTTAAAAACCACCAAAAGTCAAAATGAGAATCTTAGGGGGACGGAGGGAGTATAACACTCATGTCAAGTGTCAAAATAATCAAAGGATTATGCTATGTGTACCCCAAGGTTTGTCAAAATAATCAAAGGTTTGTACCCCAATTTGTACCCCGCAATTTGGTGTAAAACTAATTTTTGTTAAACGCACCAACATTTGTGTCCGTGTGAATTTTTATTAACGCACCAACACTTGTGTCGGTGTAAACCATCAAAATGTTTGTGCAAACCTGCGGTGTACAAATAGGGTATATTTTTTGGTGTAAGTGTAGCATGGTCCATAATCAAAATGTTTAAAAAGTACTCCGCGCAAGGACCGTAGAATAAAATCTGCTTTCTGTTACCGTATACTGTTTGGGCAGTTTTTCATTTCGCCCGGCCAAAATTTGAAATTCAAACGAGGGAAAAGACAGCGGGCTTCGATTGCGCAATAGCTTCTCACCAGCAAGAGCAGAGATCTGACGCAAGGTGGAATTTGACTTGTTTTCTCCATTGTTTCAGATAGATTTTCTCCATATCTTCGATTTCAAGGTAGCAGGAGCATGGAGGAAACCCTAAGCCCCAACACGAAGCCCAGAGGCCCGTTTTCTCCTACCAGTCCGTTCTTCCTTGGCTCAAATGACGATGATATCGAGCGTGCTCAGGCACGCGCCGCCAGAGCAGCCGCCTTACGTCGCAAAGCAGTCCCCTCAACCCCTCCACTGGCTGCCGATCCTTGTCTGGACAAGAATCAAATTTTCGAACTCTTACAGAACTGTATCCGGCTTGCAAGTGAAAATGTAATTCCTTTTGCCTGCGCACACATTTGTTGTTTCTCCGATCTGCAAACTTGTTTTCAGTGTGGTGTTTTTTTTTTGCAGAAAATTAATCAGAAGAATACTTGGGAGCTGGGTTTGATAGACCATCTTGGTGATATTATCAAAGCAGAAGAAGAAAAGGATGATGAGACTAATTTTCAAAAGGTGAGTTCGGATAGACATGCTTGTTTATGTGGTGATTATCAATGCAGCGAAAGTTTTTTGCTTTTGATTTAAATAATGCCATATATGCTTTTGAATACCTAATCTCATAGTTTGAATTTTGTAGAATTTGTATTGTTGAAAATGCTAAGTGATAATGATTATTATAGAACCTGTTAGACCGTTAGGTGATGAAATGCTAGAAAAGTTGATAATGGTTGTTGCTTGAGAATATTGGAATCAGCATGTCCTCTCCGGTGCTTTGCTCTAGACATTTGTTGGCATTCACGTAATTCACGGTTTCATTATTTTTAGGCAAGTTGTACACTCGAAGCGGGTGTTAAGATTTATTCCATGAGGGTGGATTCAGTTCATTCTGAGGCATATAAAGTCCTTGGAGGAATTAATCGGGTTGGGCAAGATGACAAACAAGGTAAGCATAGTTCTTTTTCAATTTTTCATTTCACATGGAGACTGGTGTAATAAATACTCGTATTATATTTGTGCACACCGGATGGTGAAGGGAAATTTATGAACGAATAATTGAGTGGAGGGTTCACTGTAAACCATTGTGTGGATGGTATCGTTACAAATAACTGGGTGATGTAGTGATACTACAATTTATTTCCTTATCAATGATCGTTGTTACCAATTACCATGGTATCTAACTATCTAAATATGAATTGTCTCCCTTTAATAATTTACGTTGACATTTCAACCATTTTTTAAAATTCCATACAAATTTTTCATCTTGTTTCTGACATGTAGTTTATTCCAAGCCCATCAAATGCTTCTCTCTTCTTCTCAAAATAAGGTTCTACAATTGAAATTGCATAGTTATTAAGACATGAAATTGTCCGGTTGAAATTTATGCAGAGGAGAGAAACAATATGAACCACACAATTCTTTTCTTGAAAAGGATGACAGAGTGAGTATATTGTTATCCTTGATTAGTAGAAGATGCTACATCTCGTAGCCTATACATTTCTTTCCAAAATTCCATACGTTATTTTAATATGAAACCCATAAATATGATCCCATTTTCACTTTTGCAGCGATCAGTCTTTCTGTTTTGTTTGTGGGAGAGTGTGCAGTTAATAAGTTATCTGCTTAACTCCTTTTGTACGCATGTTAATTGACATTGCTGAATTTTTCTTGCATGCAAAGTTCCTGCTGTGCAGGATGGTGATATTGACAATGAACAGCATGCAGGCAATCCAAAGAAAGAAAAATCAAAAAAGGTTTATACTTTTCACCTTCTGATGATATTGACAATGAGCAGATTTGTGTTGCGGTTTCTTATGTTTAGCTATTGCATGAATGCAGTTAGCACCCTTAACACTGGAGCCATCATTTGAGGCTCTTAACATGAAGAAATTAGACAGTGAGTGCATTTCTATATTTATTTGTCAGTAATATAAGGCACTGTCACTCATTATTCTAAATTTGCTTTTTCCCTTTCTATAAGTCTTTTTTTTCTCTAGTTGCCTTCACTGTAGATCCTCTTTATCACCAAACATCTGCTCAGTTTGATGAAGGCGGTGCCAAGGGCCTCCTGTTGAATAACTTAGGAGTCTATGGTCTCTGTCGAGTCCTTTTTGATTCATCAGAAATACCCGGCAAATGTACCCCAACTGCAGTTCAATCCGTAGAATCAGAGGTTGTTGACTTGTCTTTTGTTAAAGGTTTGTAGCAAAGGAGGGTCTTTGCATCATCTTTTATTGAATGCTGGAGAAAATGTTTATTTAATGATCGTATATTAATATAACTGTTTTTACTTTTCTCTGCTTTAATTGCTCACTCTTTAACATATATAGATTGCCTTGAAGATATGATATATAATATGCCCAAGAAGGATGAAATATCTCCGAGTCTTAGACATATAATTCACCAATTTGATGAAGATGCGGGTAGGCTATCTGAAGAATATGTGTCCGCACAAGATTCACTAGACCAAGATTTTGATACATTCGATCGTGTTCCTGAGGTTGATGATGATGCATACAACAATTATGGAGCCTGGGGTATGGATAATGATGACGATGACGATGGAACAAGTGTCGCGGACCAAGCACCATATGCTGCTGATCAAAGCGAATCTGGACATCAGGAGGTGAATGACATAAATCTGGTTTCTATAAGCTGAACTTGCAGTTTAATACAAATGTGTTTGGAAGAGGACAGTAAATATAATAGGGTAAGGTGAATACTGTTTTCAGGATAGCGAGCCTCTTAATTACCATGATGTCGAGATGGACTCTAGATTCAATCAAGTTGATAATTACTTGTTCTTGAATTTGGGATTCTTACCAAAAGAGAACTCGTGGGCCGGTCCAGATCATTGGAAGTTCCGAAAGGCAAAAGGTATGTTTTGACATGAATTTAATATATTATGGAGCATCTAACTTCTGAAAAAGAAAATAGCAATGAAAAGTTTGCATTATGGTTATGTTTGGAGCACCAAAAATAGTAGGGAAAGGAAAACATTGCCAAGAAAAACAGGCTTTTATTTTTTGTTTTGACTTGGAGAATACAAAGAAAAATCAAGTATTGTAAAATCAAGTTCGGACAAATATCTAAAATCAATTTATTGACCTTGTTAAAATTTACATTTACTTAAATTTTGTAATCTTTATATGATAAAAATATATGAATAAGACAAGTTTGAACAAATATCTGAAATCAATTTAGTGACTTTGAACCAAATACTTTATTTTCATCCTTTCTGAATTTCCTAATTCCCCCCTTCATAGCATTTTCCAAGTTCCAAAACATTTCTTAAGTAGGAAGCTGCAATTTCACATCAATGGAGCTTGCAGTTTCAGGTGTACCCGCAAAGGAAGATGGATTACAACCATTAAAGACCAAGAATACGAAGAGCAAAAAAGAAAAAAATGATATTGAATTCGAGAAGTCATTGGATAAAGATATGTCACATATCTTTGATCCTCCAAAAAATCCCAAGTCTCTGCTTCTGCCTGCTAACAGAGCGCCTGCAAACAGATTGCTTCCAGAAGATTGCCATTATCAACCAGTGGATCTTGTGAAGCTATTTCTGTTACCTAATGTTATGGTATGTAATAAAAGATATATATTTTGTTCATCTTTAGATTGATCATTTACCAGTTTATCTTTTGTTTCCCTACGTAGTGTCTTGGGAAGAAAGCAAGGAAAAGAACTGGTGAGGCCAACTTCTGTGTTATGCCATGTTTGTAATACCTTGAAATTTATAGTTCTGTTCTTGTGTGGCTCGATAACTAACAACCCTGTATTTTTTGAAGAAACGGATCAACATAGAGATGAATATGGAGGAGCAATGTCAACCTGGGATCATGATGATTGTGGGTTTGGTGGGACATTTGATGATGATAGTGTCTGTAGTGATGTTGAGGACACAAGCACTCTAGTCTCTCAACCTCGACAGGTTGGTATTTGGTTCTTGAATTACACTCTAGCATATATGTCTCTGTTCATGTTTAAATTGCAGCCTTTGTTGATTGCACCTGTTATGGGACGGACTGAGTAGTAGTTTCCTTGAGAACTGATGAAAACTTTGAACTTTTTTGAATTTAATAAATTGCATGATTTTGTTGCTATGTATTCTATTTTTGTTTTAAAACTTGGTTAATACGGAGTATTTATATCCTCTGCTTCCTTGCAATAAAAAACAGGTAAACAAGATTGACATACAGTATGATAAAACATCAAAACAAGTGGATGTTCAGATACTGAAGGAAACACTATGGGACCACATACAAAGATTAAATCAAACATCAGCTCAGGTAAACTCTAGTCACCTCAATTAGATAGTAGCCATTGTTTGATCACTATAATGATAAGATTGATAACTGAAGAACATTGTGTTGGACATGAGGGATAGGCATGACATATGAGATTTATTCTACTCTCCGTCCTGTAAAAAATGTTTCACTTTTTCAGAGTAAAAAAATCAAAAAGTACAAAGTATATGGTTGAAATTTGTGCAGAGATAAATTTTCTGAATCACATGTTATTTTCTTTAAATGGAATGCGACATTTTTTTTGTACGGGCGGAAAGGGAAACTGAGACAGTTCACGCAAGACGAAGAGAGTATTTGGTGGTCCTGAAAAATTACGTTTTCTTTCTACTAAAGCACACCATTGCATCCACGCAACCAGCAGCTAAACAATAGCTATGCTTGTGTTCTTGATCATCATCCCTCCCCCCCCCTTCAAATCTTCAATTGCATAAAATGTAATTAAGGGTACACATTTGGTGGATTTAACTGATCAAATCCACACACCACTTCTAATGCCAACCAATTGCTCGTTGGCATCACGAAATTTCTGAAGGATTTGGTTCGATCTTGTTTTAAATCTAAAGCAGAATTACATTCACATTTAAAGGTGCAGGAAGGGAATGTATCTTCATTCAAACAAGTGCTGGAAACTTTTCCGGAAGACTGCAGAGCGACAGGATCCATTCATGACATATCACCACACTTGTGCTTTATATGCTTGTTGCATCTTGCCAATGAGCATGGACTTTTCATCCAGGGTTCTGATCATTTGGATGACCTGAGAATAAAAATGGATGCCCACCATGATGGTGTTCAAGGTACTGCCAATTAAAGTAAACATATTTTTTGCTCCTTCACTGGGGTCTCTGCTTGTGAATCTTCTGACTTAGAGTTCCACCTGACAAATTTCCAATGTCAGCAAGGTAGATTTGTAGTTAAACTAATATCAGCAAACTTCTGTACCAAGAATTAAATATCATCAAACTTTTGTAAGTTCCCTATAAATACCTCTACATTAGGTGTCATGTTCGAATTATATTATATATCTCGATGTATGCACGTCTAAAGGTCTTTTATACCTCTTCATTAGGTGTCATGTTCGAATTATATTATATATCTCGATGTATGCACGTCTAAAGGTCTTTTTTTAGTTTTATTGATGATATGTTCGTTTTTCTACTAAAGAATCCTCGTCTCCGATTGTGTTTTTTCTGTTCATCTCTCTAAATAATGATGATTTGAAATTTTGAATGCGAGAGTTGCTTCTTTTACTTTTTAAAAAATGTTCATTTGCAAATGTCAGATGTACAAATATCATGATATATCTCAATATATCATACTCCCTATATTTGTTGGGTTACTAAGAATCATACTATCATTTGTTTGTATGCACGTCGTAAGCCCAAAATATAAATTATTTTGAAACCAATTATCCCCTCCCTCCCAATTTAATCGCATGTTTTAGTTTATACGGAGTAATACTTTATATTTTATTGAAATTATTTTCAATGCAATTTATTTGAGAATTGTAGTGGAATTTAAGAATAAAATTTACTGATCTTGTGAATAGAAAATAAATACTTTCTCCGTCTCAAAAAGTCTTTCATGTTTACTATTATGGTCTCTCGATAACTCTTACTCTTTCCGTCCCCCAGTTTTTGTCCACTTTTAACTTTTGGAACTGTTCATCTAAACACTTTGACTCATCAAATTCTCTCAATGTGTAAGCCTAAATATAGTCATGTGTGATCCTGTTTGATTTGTATTAACATATAGATTATTAATATATAATTTCTATAATTTTTTAATATACAAATTACAAGATAAAATGAATTAAAAAAGTGCATTGGATGGTGTGTAAAAATAAAAGTGGACAAAAACTGGGGGAGGGAAGGAGTATTTGTTTGCGTGTTTTCATTGATCATTTGATAAAATAAAATGTTCTTGTCACCTCTTATTTTGTAGAATTTTCGATGTATTTTTAAATATAATTTTCTTATGTGCTACAGAGTATTTCTTTACTAATTTACAAATAAAATGATTTTAAAAATCACAGGATTTTATACGTTAATCAAAGTAAGACTCAACCCGATAAAGCTTGAAAAAATCAAGTCTCAAATCGATTAGATTCAAAATTGATTAGACACCTAGAATGGGTTCATGAATCATTAGTATGGAGTAATACATGATTAGTTTTAAAATAAAATAAATTTGTGATATTGATTTATGAAGAGGATAGAGAAGTAACCAAATTGAAATTTAACTGATACAGAGTAGTTTGAATCGGTTACAAGTCCACGTATAAACGGTAACGAAAAAAAGTCAGAATGATAATTTCAAGAAATCCATAAGAAGAATAAACAAGATCAGACAGTATGTATGCATAATTAGATCAACTCATTTCTACACTAGGCAGGCAGCAAGACTAGTTATATATAACTCCTCTTGATGGAAAAATGCCTCACCCGCCATGTATCTTGTTGAGCCCTAACCTTAAATAGTGGAGGTTTTTCCCCCTTTCAGACGGAGTTCAAATCTCTCGTCGCGCTTTCTTGATGTGTCACTCATTCTCTGATTGATCGATATTCCATATGTTAAAGTAATTCATTAAATACGAGTTATAATGTTATTAAAAAAAGTTGACATGTGATTCGAGTCAGGTTGATCAATCAGGAAGAGTGACACGCCATGATGAGAAACTCGCGAGATTTCTGAAAGTGAGGGGCATGACGTCTCACATTGTCTGCACGTACGCTTGATGGGATTGAGAACGGGTCCCACCAGAGGTCGTTCCGTCCCTCCACCCCATCTCTCGGGCACGTGTTTCCCATGTGGCACTCAGTCTCTTCTGTGCCACTAAAGCCGCCTCTGCTTTTACTCTTGCCCCTTCACAAGTCTCCATACCAGAATTGCACTTCTCCGCTTCCTTCATGTACTGAGATGTCAACTTTTTGGCCTCTAGCAGTGCTGTTTCGGCCCTTCTCTGATTCTCTACACCTTCATCTTCTCTCAATTTTAGTTCCTCAGACAATAGTTCCGCAATATTCTTTTCAGTGTCTTCCCCCACTTCTGGATCATGCTTTGCACATCCTATTAAGGAAAAAGACATAAAAGTACATCACTAGTTGTGACAATAATTTGAAGAGAAAATTACACGAATATGACTAAATCAAGGCTAGTTGACACAAATAGGACTCATTTTAAACACGAGACTAAAACCTACATTAATTGACTAAATTGCTGACATGCCTATGTTCTCTCTTCCTTAAAAAAGTTAAAGAACGTAAGGGTAAAATGGCATGGAAACAATGAAATGCACGGGAATAGGACCTTATAGGTCCCATTCGTGTAAAAAATAAAAATTGGTCCCATTCAGTAAATCTACAATTATTTAGTCCTATCTTCAGTAACTTTCTCAAATTGGAAAGGCACGTGGTGAATCCGATCCCAATATGCACAAACGTGATACACTTATCTACAATATACCATGTCTTTATGTGAGTGTAGGCTATCTTTGCTATATATGTCCTTTGTGATCTCAATTTTATCCTTTCCGTTTGAGCCGGGGGTCTCTTGGAAAGAACCTCTCTACTCTTGAGTAGGGACAATGTTTGTGTACACACACCCTCCCCAGACCCTACTCTCGTGGGATCCAACTGGGTTGTTGTTGTTTATGTGAGTGTAGAATATAATTGATTGGAACAGTTTACTCAAGTCATTCGTCATAATTTTCTTGGAGTAAGATTTTATGGCTATCATGCATTTGTAAGTTTTCTGTTGACTTTAGAAGTTAAGATGTACTCCGGTATGTATTCCACTAAAGGAAGATGCATTGAGATGAGAGTATAGGAATAAGCTCCTCAAACTTTGAGTATTCAAAACATATTTCTATTCATCATTATCAACACCTTAATACTGCACCCAAAAAAAACCTTAATCCCTCCTAGTCAGTGAAAATATTTTATGACGCATGCCCCTCCTACGGCAACCTTCATAAGAAGGATATATGAGATGAAAATCCTAAAAGTCTAAAACTAGCATAACCATAGGTTTTTTTGTACATATATGGAATTTATGGATAGCATGACATGGCAGTGAGTTGAAATATTTGTTACTACCATTATCATTTTCCACAAGAAATTTGTGCCTCTTATTTTTTCTTTCCTCTAAGGAAAACTCAAACATTCACTTCCCCAATTTCTCAATTACCGCGGTAATGGAAGTTTACATTATGATTTATTGTTTTAAAAGTATAACATTTGACCATCCCCCCTTCCCTCTATCTTTCACTTTTCAACTGTTTAATTCATTTCTGATTTGGGAAAATGGAACTGCTGGGATGCTACTTGTGGAGAAATAGTTAACTCAGGCACCACCAATAGTTAACATAAATGTTTTGTTTTTGTGATGGAAGTGTATATTTGTTTTTCCATCCACCTGCATTAAATTGATAATTTAAAGCACTGGGTTCAGGAAACTTAAATGGTTATGGAACAATAGGAGCATATTACTTTCTAGTATTCCCTCCGTCCCAAAAACTCTTCCTTTCTTTTTTTTTCTTGTCCCACGAAATCTTTCTCATTTGTATTAAAAAACCACTTTTACCCCTACTAATTCTTAACCTACCTATCACATCACATTTTTAGTAATAATCTACCCATCACATCTTACTTTTATCCATTACATCAATGGTATTTTTGGAAAGTCAACACAAAATATCCTTCTCTTAAATTTTCTAAAAGTCAAAATGGGAACATCTTTATGGGACGGAAGAAGTAGATATTACTATATTAGCCCTGCATTTAACCAGATCCTTTAAAGGTAGCAAACCTCTCTAGAGTAGTACGCTACAACCTAGCCTTCTCCATAACAAATTTAGGTATGAGGGAGATATGACAAGAACTCAAGAAGCACAAAGTGAAAAACAGCTAGAATAAGTTCACTAAAACATGTTAAACAAGCTCAAAGAAAACCTAATAACTCTTCATTCATCTTACATTTTAATATGAGTCTGTTCTTTTCCTCTTATTTTCAGTTCAATTTAGTTTCCATTCACATCAAATAGCAACGAAATCTAGATTATTCAACTTTCAGTTGAGTTCATTTCAGTAAATTTCTCCATTCTGTTCAGTAACTTTCAGTTGGAAAGATAAGACCCTATATCAGAAAATGTGTGTGTAAATGATAGACAACTGATAACATAGAAAAAAAGACTAAATTACACGGCCACTTCTTAAATAAAGGAGAAAATTATGGCACCAACCTGTAAGAGAAGCGTTGCTCAGACCTGTAAGAAGAAGAAAAAACAGATTCTTCAGAGAAATCCATTTGATGAATGACAAAAAAACACAAAGGCATAAAAATACATAGTGATCATATCAATGCAAAGTAAAGTGTAGGCTAGTTGAGATTTAAAGAGAGACCAGATCCACCACATCAATCCACACGTTCATCATATCAAGACAGCGATGAGAGGAGGCATGTCTATGCAGATCTGGGAAAAGGGAGCAGAAATTGGACGGGGCTTTTACCTCGAGGAATGGAGAGGAGTGGATGGGAATCGCAGTCGCAATCGCAGGAAGGGCAAGAGACGGCAGCGGCGGCGGAGAATTCTTCAATTAGGTGCCAGTACAACGGCGGGCCAAAAAGGTATCCGGCCAAGCACATCGCCGTCAACCCGAGCGCCGCCCTTATCCGCCATCGCTGCGCCGGCAGTGCCATCATCTAAGAATTCTTAGTTAATCTTTACGGAGAAGTCGATCATGGAAATTATAGTATCGCACTTTCCCACGTCGTCTCCGGATGTGTTCAATAGATCTGTTGACTTTTTTTTGGGTGTGAAAATACTCGTAACATTTTAATTTCGAATTACAATATTTGATCAAAACATATTTTCAATTTGAATTGTTCCAAATTATTTTATATTCAGACTTAATTCTACTAGTTAGTATTGAACTTTTTTTCTTTCTCTTTAGAGAAATTAGAAAATATTTAGGAAAATGTATCCGTGGAAGAAAATTATAGAAAAATATAAAGTAATATAAATTAGGTTGTTGTTAAATTCACCCGATTATATCCATTTTTTGATATAAATTTATTTCTTTATAAAGAGAAAGAAAGAAGTAAAGGGTAATATTATAATTTTTTATATTAATGGAATGAATTTAGTAAAAATAAGGGGTGACTTTAGTATTCATTGCGTCCTAAATTGTTTGAAGACAAACAACGTGTAAACTATTATATCGTTTAACATGATTTTATTCATAAATTTGCATTGAATAAAAAACAACTTACATGTTTAATTAGAAAACGACACAAAAAACTACAAAATAAGTTATGATATGCTTATTTTGTTTTTTTAAATGGTCAATAAAAATGCATATACAAATAAAATTTAAAATTCTCCTCCATCCATGAAAGAATTACATATTTACTTTTACGTTCGCTCGATAATTTTTATTTGTTTGTATGTTTTCATTGATCATTTGATAAAATAAAATATCATTGTCATCTCTTATTTTATAGATTTTTTTATATAATTTTTAAATATAGAACTTTTATTTTTTTTAATTTTTTTTACCAATTTGTAAATAAAATTATTTTTAAAATCACGAGTTTTACACGTTAATAAAAACGCCATCTTTTTTAATGGAGGCAGTAAATTATTGGAGAGAGATGTATTGCAAGTGGAACACACACTCGAGGCGCCCCACACTCTGACAATATAATGTTATTTTGGTCTTTAGAGAAGCTGTCCCGTGCTCGGTGCATACAAAGAACTATTACGGAGTACAATAATAGATTTTCCACATTGCTGCAGCTGGAATTCGACTTCAAGATCTATGAGCTTGACATCCTCTCCATAGACCAGTTGAATTACCTAAGAGATGTATTTCAATTTTAAACCAAATGATGTCGACCAAGCTTTATTACTCCTCCAGTTCTAAAAAGATTGCCACAGTGTGACTTTTTTGGTTAAACAGTGACACCATTTGAACATTAATTAGATATAGTTTAAAATAAATAAATATTATAAACATTTGATATTTCAAAATTATTTTTTAAAATAAATCTAATTTTACTAAATTTACATTATAACAATATATGTATATTTTTGTAATTTATAGTCAAAAAGCTCCATAGTTTATTAAAAGTATTAAATTGTGGCAATTATTTAGGAACGAAACGAGCAAATTGTTTTCTTTTGAGGTGTTAATGGGCTGTTGACTTATTGTGTTTCTAATTGCGTTACTTTTCCCCATAGTTATTTAGGCGCCAATGAATTGCCATGGCGCGCGATAACGCAGCCTGCAGAGCGGCAACAGCCAAACGATAAAACGAACCCACCATTGTTGAAACTACCCGCGCCTCTTGTGCGGCGAGGTGAACAGATAGTCGATCATACTGCGGCAACTGCGCTCTGTCTTCATCTCAATGGGAAGCTTATCAGGGTTTCGCCCCCCTCAATTCTCAGAGGTTAGGTTTTCCAGTTCTCAATTCATACCATATGTCCCGGATACCAAATTACCAATCAAATGTCTGCGATCGGCATTTCGATAATAACAGTTCTGTTAATCGGTCCTCACTGGATTGCTAGCTTTTGCAAAGGAGAACTGAACGGGGCGGCTAGAATGTATAGGAATTCACTAGTCGCGATAAATTAACGGGGGGGCGAAAATTAATGAATTTTTGTGATTGCGTGGTGCAGGATGGGGCATGGCTACCTTTTTGGCTTCAGCAGGAAGACTGTGATGCCGAAGCATCTGTTCTGGGAATTGAGCAAGGGCAATCTTCGCCGGAGCCATGTGTTGAGGTAGCAGCATGGATCGTTTATCTTTTAAACTGAATCATTCTTGTTAATATTTTTGTTTTTTTGAGGCACGCCTGAAAACAAACATAAAAAATCATCGCTTTTATAGGTTTTTTTGGGATGACAAAGGTTTGAAGGACTTAGTTCTCTAGGTTTAGTACTCTGGATGACAAAGGTTTGAAGGACTTAGTTCTCTAAGTTTAGTACTCTGTAGTACGGAGTACTATGTATGCCTTTATGGATGCCTCATATGCAGCACACAAGGGCACATCTCAAAGTTCAACGTAGATATGTATTGCGATTTCAATGTCTGAATGCATCAGGAAGACATCAGTGTGGTGTCTGGGTGTCAAATATGTAGAAACTTATTCTTGCATTGAGTTTCTGATCAGACTGACCCCCAAACCTGGCTGCAGCCTTCCAATTGAAGGATTATGAAAAAATCAGCCATCATTTGATGGAGAGCAAATTCTTTAAGCCAATGCAACTCTTTTCAAACTTTATGACATGCACATGGATATGCAAGTATGACTTGTCAAAGAATGTTAACAAATTTGAATTTTTATTTTTACCAATAATCCTATAGAAAAAGACAAGTTCTGACCAGAAACTAGGGCACCAAGAAATTGGTAATAAACTCAAAAAGTTATTATATTTTTTCTCCAAACTTTATCTAGATAATGGTAAAAAGAAGCTTTTTATAATCATTTTTTCAATGTGTTGATGTCATGGATTAATGATGTAAAAGAAATATCAGTCTCATTGTAGTCCAACTGGGTTGTTGTTGTTGTTGTTGTGGGACTTGGTCTGAGTGGCAAGTGTCTCGGTATCGCTTAAGCAAGGTTTCAAGTTTGAGTCTCAGTGTATGCAAATGTCCCTTGGTAGACTCACTTTCCAAATCCAGCAACGCGACCCAGGTTGGATACCGATGTAGTTAGGGCAAAGCTCCATTGAACCGGGTGGGCAACAAAAAAAGTTGTGTAAATGGAAGGAAATATATTTATCTGTAGTGTCTCTAGCTATAAAGCAGACAAAGCAGTGTCTCTACCTTTATAGGTAAGGCAAGATATGCGTACCTTTACCCTCCCCAGACCCTACTTGTAGTATTGTATTGGGTTGGTTTTGGTGTTATTCTCCCTCAGGGCTACAAGGCAGGTGGTAATGTGGTGTCATCTCTATCTGATGCAGGGACACCACAATTATCAGAAACATGTCTGCAACATCAGTGCTGACGAATTTCTAGGGGAGGAAGGCAGATATACCAATTGTCATTTATATTTATCTGGAGATGACAGTTCACTGCTCACTGCCACTCAGTCTATTGATAATGTAAGTTTGTTTTTGCGAAATCGACAAAGTTATCCATGAATTGCATTGAACACATCACATCATTTTCACTGCATGGTATATGCTGACAGTAGATTCTTGATTCATGATGTTTGTGCTTTTTTGCATATATGTAATATTTTAATTGGTAATTAATTTTAGACAAGTAATTGATCCTATAAATTTCTTCCACTAAACCCAAATACAGTGGGAATAAGGAGTTGGTGATGATGTGTGTGGTATAATATAACACTTTACATTGTAGTTTATATAGATCTCATATTTTAGGAACTGAACATTTATTTATTTTATGAGAAAAGTCGCGTGAGATTGTCTCACAGCTGTATTTGAAAAATGATCCAACCTGAATTCATTTTCAATCTACTACATTTACGTCTGTGTTGGTCTCCACGTTTGTATCCACCATGAGAGATAAACAGAATGGACAAGAGTTTTTTTTGATTCCACGACGGTATGAAGGGAGAAGTGTTCATCTCTACTATGCCACCATGGAGATGAAAACAATTAGTTTGTTTCCCGTGATGGGGACCCACCTTTGAAGAAGAAAAACTGTTTAAAAGGTTTGACATTTTTTTTGCACGAGTCTCAAAATTTATGTTGGGAAGTGTTGCATTAATTATTAGAAGTATTCTGTTTCATTACTTTTACTATATTACTTAGAGCAAGATTTCTTTTTAAAAGTATGGTCATGCTAATCAGAGTCCTAAGAGTTGGTGATAAGGTGCATTTACCTCTATTCTTTTTTTTTGAAAAGTAATAGTGACCAATTAATAAATTATATGTAGTTACTAGTTTATTATCTCAAGAGTATTACTTTTTAGTTTAGTGTGGGGGCAAAATATAATACTCTCCGTCTCATAAAAGGAGTCCGCTTTGATGAATGTGTTAGTATTGTACAACTCTTACAAAGCACTAAATATACCTATATGCTTAAACAAGTTGAGAAATATGACTTTTTATGGGACAAAAACAAGTTGAGAAATACTCTGGAGTAAGACTCTTTTTGTGGGACAGAGGGAGTATTTCTTAATTGAATACTTATGCACACTTCTTTTTGAAGGCGCCTCAATACCACCTTCATCTATCACTGGATTGTAGTTCGGTGGGAATGCCAAGCCCGTGTATTGATGCATTTCACGTTGAGAGGAATGAAATATATTCTGATCTACATGTGCAAAACCCTGAAGTTCCAGAGCCAAAAGCAAACAATGTATTAAATGCAGAACAGAACATTGATGCTATTGCCTGCTCTTTAGTTCCTGAATTTCAAAGAACCGAGAATGATATGACCATGAAGGAGCTTGAAGAAAAATCCAGATCATTAGAAGTTGAGAAAATGTGTGATGCAGTTGTAATGAGCTGTTCTTTAGCTCCTGAATGTGACAGGGCACCAGAAGATCAGAGTTTGGAGGGTCTTGACGAAGATTCCAGATTAGTAGAAATTGAGCAAACAGATGATGCAGTTGAGATGTCTATTTCAGCTTCTGAAGCACTAGTTATTCATGAAGTTTTCAGAACTCTGTCCTCAGAATTGCCAGTTTCCTCTGTGTTGGAAGCCGCACTTCAGTTGAAACAAGCTCGCTTAGAAGTCTGGAAAGATTCTCATGAGACCAGCTGCAATTCATTATTAGAAGAGGAAATTACTGATACCGAATATTGTTTAGGTTCAGAAGATATACATAAGGAAAATGTCCATGATCACTTAGAAGGTGATAACTTAAGTGTTTCTCAAGTGAAAGACACTCTTGACTCCGAAAATTGTGGACAAGAGAGAAAATCTGAACTGGTGAACACATCTACCTCTCAATATGATCATTTACAAGGCTATAACTTAAGTGTTTCTCAAGTTAAAGACACTCTTGACTCAGAAAGTTGTGGACAAGACAGAAAATCAAAACCTTTGGTTGTTCAGCTACCTGATACTGAACGAAATCTACATGGCAATGACTTCACAAACCGCAAAATGGAGGTTCATGAGAATGATCATCAGTTAAAACAGAACACAGTTGGATCATATGATTGTGACTGGCATAATAAGTCCACTATGGGGCTGCCTTCCACTAACATGTCACATCAAAGCAATCCCATGTTGCATCTTCCGGGGCAAGTAAGTCCTGTTGTTTCATCTGCATTAGAGGTTAGGCTAGTAGTGGGGTTTTAACTATTTATCAAATATAAGTACATAATTGTAGAAAATGTTCACTAGCTCTAATTAATTATCTCAGGATCAAACAATTGCAACTCTTCATCTGCCGTGATGGAGTTTAAATAACTTCATTATTTGTTGAAGAGATTCTAGTTCTGTAAATTTTTATAACAACTGTCAAGGCCAACATAAACCTACAGTAAATACTTTATATGTGATCATGAATAATAGCGGACCTTTGTAACAATTATATAGCTAACATCACTGTCTTTCATGTAGACAGAAGATCATAATTCTACAGAAGATTGTTCATTGCAAGCAAACCTTGAGTCTCATTGTGCAAAGCGGTTTGAAATTGATGGTAACGCTATAATGTTTAAGCTCAATATTTTTATTACCATCCTGTACTGAAAGATTGTTGGCATGAATCTATATTCACTTTCTTTCCTTAGGACAACATTATGGAGTATCAGGCACAGTGTCTAATAGATTTCAGAGTCGCTGGTTTGGAGGTTGGTCTGGCAATGTAAGAGCTACATTAATAAATGAAACCTTTGTTAGCCCTGCAACCCTCTACCTCCAAGCCTACCTGTGCTCGATGTTATTTCTAAGACATTTTTTACTTTCCTTCACTTCTATGCTAACTAGAACTTGAGCATGCTGCAGTTTAAGTATGAAATTATTGTACATCTTTTCCATATTGTATATTGGACCTCAAAATTCTTGTTTCATGTCAACTACTTCACATTTTATTAAATATTTCTTTTTAGTTAATTCCAAAGGCAATTGCTTGGAAATTTGGAAAGTGTGTTGAGTAGAAGATCTATTTCTCAACTTGATTTATTACCATTGTTTATTTATTACAATGTTTATTTGTTTATAATGACACCATTCCCCCACTTTCCAGGACACAAATATTTCAGTTCCAATGAGACCAAATAATATTAAAATCATAGCTGGCCATTTTGCCGGTGAGACAAGCTATTTGTCAGAATCAGCAGATTTGGCTCCAGATGAAAACTCCTTTGTGGGACCCAAACCAGACGAAAAAGCTTGCATTGCTTCTCAATCAACTATACCTTCTGAAGGTGCTCTTATTAACAGGAATAATCAAGTACTTCTCTCACAGGATGCATCTAGATTTTCAAGTCCATCCTATGTCGATCCACTCTGCTCTGTTGTTCCCTGCAGTATTCCATCCCAAAACATGCTTTCTCGTTCAGCTTTATGTGATGATAAACAGGTCTATATGGAAAAGTTCTTCACTCCTGGTACTGAACATATAGAAAACTTGCAGAGTAACTCAAATCTGGACAACAAGGTTCTCTCAGAACAAATTTCCATTTCAGAAGCTAGTGCTGATCGACCAGATCATTCTGTTCATAAAAAATTGATCTCAATGAGAAGTATTAGTATGCGACCTTGCTATGTGTCATCTTTGAAAAATGGGAGTCTGGGTAAAACATGTCTGCTGGATAAAAGCTTGCCACCTCCGAACCTGTATGGCTCAACAGAGAGTGTACATGGATTTCCATCAGGTTTGCAAACAGAAAGGGATTCACACTTCTTGTCCATGAAAAAAGGGTCCGTGCAGCATTTAGATCATTTTTCATCTGAGTTTAGTGCAGAAGCAAATGGAAAACAGATTGAGGGAAGTCAAACTGTAGCAGAGATTCCAACACATCCAAACCTCTTGAAGCTTCAGCTTATACATGAAAATCAAAATATTACCTCATCAGGAACAATAAAGCGTGTCCGGTTTGCAGAAATTGAAACGAAGGTTGCAAACGGAGAAAAACGACTAAAGCAGCAAATCACATCAAATGCTTGTAGGTGTAACATGATTGTTTTGCATTTTAAGTGTAAAAAATACAGGTGGATGCACATTTCATCATTTTTATATTTGCAGGCCACACTGTAAGAGCTTCCAAATGTCTGAGACCTTCACGTTCACATTTTGAGTCAAGAGCTCAAAATAAGAAAGGGACTCTAACTAATTGCCAAGCCAAATTTGTGAAGATGTTATTCCAATCTATGAAGTTTTTGCTTACTGGGTTTCCAAAGCAAAAGTTAAAGAGAATTGAAGACCTGATAAGGAAGTATGGTGGGACAGTGCTCACTGATATCCCTTTTGGAAATAAGAGAAAGAGGAGCTCTAGACATAGAGAGCAGGCACTTCCTATTGTTTTGTGCCCAAAGAAGGTCTGTCTTGCTGAAGTGAACTTTCATCCCTACTTATCTGTTTGTCCATAATAATAGATGATTAGGTAGACATTGCTCTTAAAGATAATCGACATTGATAGACCATGAATTAAAGTGTTTGAATCAACGGATGAACATGAAAGAGCTTGCTAAGTAGATATTGATGCAAAAATATCTCTGGCAACCACTTCTTAGAAGTTTTAAACATGTATTGACTCCGATCCCCACCTATTACAGTATTTTATCTAATCTTTAGACTGCATAGTTTCTTGAGGATCTGTGGAAAATAGAGTTATTCTTGTGTTTCTGGATGATAGGAGTATAGGACAGTAGGGTCAAGCCTTGGAAGCAGCATTAGAAAAATAATTTTTTGGCTTGTTTCTCTCGCTCTGCATTAATGCATGTGTCTTTTAATGCATTTGGACTTGAATTATGGACACTCTAACCTTTAAATTTTATTCAAATCCTCCCACCCACTCCAGCTTATCATTTTTATTGCAATCTGGACGGTTTTAAATTATAATATTAATTAGATGATTGTTTGATGTTGTCTCAGCTACAAACAATGAAGTTCTTATATGGCTGCGCTGTTGGTGCCTTGATGGTCAAAGCTAAATGGCTCACTGATTCAATCGCAGCAAGTTCCCTCTTACCACCTGAACAGTATGTTATAAATATATAAATCCATGTTTGATATTTACATGAAATTTTTACCTAACCATAATCTTAATACTCATAACTATTATTGTTTTTGAGTTTGTTGCACCCATTGCCAATGGAGCTAGAAGAGTCATTTTTTGCAATGTTTTAGCTTTGGGTAAATAGTGGACTAAGTTAAAATGGCACATTAAACTTCCCTTGGATCTTATTTTCTATGAAATTTTGGGCAATAAATGCAATAATGTATCATGGTCTAACGGGAAAAACCTCTTGGTTTAATGGGGTAAGGTTGCTTACATCCTGGACCCAATGGAGTTGAGGTTATACTGGGTTTGTTGTTGTATTGCTGATGAGATTATGCTGAAAACGTTGTGTTTGACTTTGTCTACTATGTAGCTTGTTCAACCAAAATATCAGCCTTCTGACATACTGCATTAGAAGCGAGTGACTTGAACTTATAACTTTATTTTTTTCTATCCAGTTACACATATGATTAACTTTATTTTTCATGAATTTGAATGAAGGTCTCTTTCCTCTATTATAAACACTGAGGATACTTCTCATGACATTCAAACTCAAGATAAACTAAAGTTGGTTTGTTGCTGCACAAACTTCCTTCCACATGAATACAATGATTTTTTGTGTGTCGGAAGTGCAGTATATGCATGCCATTGGGTATTCAAGCTTGAGATAAACTAAAATTTGTTTGTCAATGGAAACTTCCTTTCACTTGTATATATTGATATTGGAAGTGCAGTTTATGAATAGAAATCACATGCTTAATGGCTTCTATAACCTTTATATGAACTTTACTGGATGTATGCAAGAAGTTTAGTGTTTGTGTTAACATTTAGTACTACTTATTTTAGTAATCAGGAACTGTTTTCTTCACACACACAAAAAATCATGACCGGCTAACTATTCATATAAGATGAGTTTCACCTGGGAATATTTTTAGCTTCTCTAAGTACTACATTTGTTGGAAATTTTAGTCTCTTTTTACTATTGTATTTCACGGTTTCCTGCTACCTGCATTTTGTTCAATGAAATATTGATCCAATATTAAACATTTTTAGATACATGATTCTACGAAAATCTTTTGGAGGGTCTTTACAAACTGAAATTCTTCTGAGAGGCAGTAGTAACTTTATCTTTGATGGCGTTGGCATCATGCTTCATCATGGCTCAAAAAGAAATTGCACTGGGATAGCAAAAGTAATCGAGGTAATGCCCTTCCTGTTTTATACTCATTTGGAGTAAGATTTTCATCTGCATTTCATGATTACTGCTCTATTCTTTTTTTAGTTGGCATGTCTTGCAGTCAGTTACAAAAAGGATATGATATAATCTTAAATTCTCAATTCAGTTTTCTTTTAAATAGATAAATGAACCCCCCCAGAAAAAAATTGGTACATGTGTTTGTAGACTCGTTGGTAAAAAAAACTTTATTTTTTCTTCTTATGGATCTCAATTATCTGACCTATTGGCTGCACTTCTTTTTTCCTTTTTAGAGTGGTTCTGAAATTTACTTCATACCATTGGCTTTTTCAAAGGAGAGGGGTGGAGAGGAGAATTATTAAAAACAATATGTTTAGTTTTTTTTGTTGTAATATAAAAAATAAGAATCTATGCGTATAACAATAATAATGCAAAATAGTTTTGTTCTGGGTAATGAAAAATTAAAGGGGGGAAATCAATCCTCCAAAATGCCCCAAATTGGGAGAGTGAAATATGAGTGAAGGAGCCTAGATCCTCCATTTCCCCCCTTCCCACTAACTTACCCAACAAAACCCAAGCTTCCCTCCCCCATCATCCCCTCCAAGCTCATCCAACAAACCAACCAAATGCACAAGCTATCAAATTTTCAACAACCATGCTAGGGGTACACCAAGAAGTGTACCCCAATTTGTACCCCAAAAGAATACACTAGTATTTCAACAATTCACATTGGCACAAAATGTTAGTTCAATAAAAAGAATTGCACTGACATTTTATGTCATTGTAAAGTATTGCACTAACATCACACTAGCATAAAATGTTGGTGCATGCCTTCGGTGTACAAAGTGGGGTACAATTCTTGGTGTACAAATATCATTTCCCAAATTTCATTTAATCCTCGATTTTGCACTCCATCCGTCCTATGTTTTTCATCCCACTTTGATTTGGTACAATTATTAAGAAAAGTGAAATTGTGTAGTTGTGGTTGATTTAGAAGTGAAATAAAGAATGTGGGCCATACAAACATTTCCTTATAAGGAAATGAGAAGTAAATTTTAGAATAACCCCAAAAGGAGAGCGGGAGGAAAATTTCAAGATAGAGGAAGTATATTTTGTATAAAATATAGATTTTATTTATTTTAATAAAAATTATGATGATATAAATACTAGTCATAGGCTCATGGCAAAGTACTTGGCTATACTTGGCTACACCTTTTCTATATGATACTCCGTCCTAATTGTTTTTACCCTGTGACTTCACGCGCTTATTAAGAAAATAAAATTGTGTGGATGTGGTCTATTAAAAATGGATAGAAAGGAAATGAGAAAGAAATTTTTTGGACATCCCAAAGTGTAAGAGGGAGGAAGATTTTACTCTTTTAGGATGGAGGGAGTATGAGTTTATTGGCTCCAAAGCTTTCAAGTATTAAGATACATGTAATAGTGAGCATATATGGATCTTCCTAAAGAGAATTGTTGTGTTTGAGGATCTTTTTGGGTTTGTTTTTTTTCCTTCCGCAATAGTATATGGTTATACGTGCTCCCCTCGTACTAATATTTAATGTCCTGTGGATCTTTCTGATAATATGGTGATAATGCCAATTAAAAATTCAATTAAGGTGAAACTTATTGGACCTTTCTTAATTTTATCATTTGCACTTGCTCAGCATGGCGGTGGAAGAGTTTTAAAAACACTCCAAAAATTGGTTTTAAGTCTTGATGCTGCAGAGATTAGTCTTGGGTTTATTGTGACTGAGGATGGAAGTTGGACTTCAAGACACTTGAAGCAGTGTGCTTTGGAGAAGAAAATACCTATTATGGTCAGTATATTATTATCATCATTAGTATTTGTATGGTCATCATCATCATCATTTGAAATAAAAATACGGTTCTTTACTTCTTTAGTTTGAGTATAAAGCTAAGTTTATTTTATTTGTCATGCAGTCAGTTCAATGGATAGTAAATAGTTTACATGCCCAGAAGCTTCTTCCCTTCACAGAAAAGAAAGATGTTGTCCCTCTACCTCTCATTAAGCTTCCTGATACTTGTTCCATCGGATGGAGTCATGAAATTTAAGCTTGCTCATTGCAGATGCTCTCTCTTGCAGAGCTTCATCATGTAAGTTTTTTTTTTCCGTTTCGTCAAGGCTACCTCAGACCCAATTGTTTAAAAGTCGTCATCTAATTTATACTCCGTATGTTATGGCAGTCAGGAAACTAAAAGGATCATAGGCCGTCTTCCATCAAATTTCAGATATGGTCGTTATGGTTGTGGGCAGTCTGTTCTAGCCTTCCCGGGGAGGTTTTATTGACCAAATGCCATGTATGCCAAGGAACTAACTAAACCAAAAACTCAAGCTTGTGATTGAAGGTCCTAAAGTATTTTTGTATGCTAACATGCCCCTCACGTGTAGCCGAGGTTTGTTTGCTCAAACCTTACATTTAATTTTTTAAATTTGGGTGGCGATGATATTCTAACGTGTGACTTCTATGTTTCTATGTAAATGAAATTCACATACCATATCAAGGAACCAATTTAATTAAAAGCCCATGTTTGTGATTGAATGCTCTATAATTTTTTTATACTTTAACATTGTCTAATCAATTGATATAATCAAGAACCACCATATTATCATGGGGATTGATGAGTATACTGGGACTGCGATGTATAGCGAGTTAGATCCATTATATCCAGTTCATTCCCTAATTAATATGAAAAATTCTAAGTGTGCCTCAACTTTGACTCCACTTTTGAGACTACCTTTTTACAAACATTCACTGACACAGTTCCGCAAATGTTTGTAAAAAGAGTGGTGTCAGAAGTGTGGTGCCTCAAGCATAATTTAATTATTAATGTATGCATTGGAGCTCATATGCTTGGTAGGAGGATCCAAACCACTGCTGACATGAAATGAGCTGGGTTAACCCGACCTGGAAGTGATGCTAGGAATTTGCCAAAGTGGCGGGTTGAGGTAGGCTAGGGTTAGAAGACAAGAGAATGATCCTCACAATTTCTCCATGTCCACATGACCTCCCATGATCATGGCTAATGCTTGCTCATCTTCCAGAAACATGGTAGGTTTTTTATTTCTATAAATATAACCTCTTAAAACTTGGATAGATGATTGCATTCTTGATATAATATAAAGAGCATATTATTTCTTTGCTTTATTTCTCTCACATTCTCTTTTGTTCCATTACTCATCTATTATTATTCTGTCAAAATTCTGGTGGATTAACATTCGTCGGTGATGGTTTGCTCAAAATTTCATACCAACCTTAAAGATGAGGCCATGTGTCATTATTAACAAATAACAAGGGGAGATAGTAAGCTAAATTATATTTGTGGGACATGGACATTAAGGGAAGGCCAAAAGAAAACAAATCCTAGTTATAAACTTGGCTTCTATATACCAAGTAATTTTAAATCATTATAACTTTCGCGGGGATTCAATCATTATAGCTAACACTCAGATAGGTCTCTCCTCACTCTCAATCTCCAAACTCACTCACTAAACACACAACAAACCCTTAAACAATTACTTTTGTTGATACAATTGTTGCAGGTCACTACTTTCGTGCTGACTTGAGCATAGATTTGATGAGGGATGGCATTCGGGAGTGGTGGACTAGAAGGACAAAATGACTGAACAAGAGCCGGAAGATGAAAGGGCTTAGAGGGAACCACCCCTCCTCACCCCCACCACCACCATGGAGTTAGTGATTTGGTTCATTGATCCTCTCAAGCTCAACTAAGGTCGTTGGAAGAGCTCTAAAGATTTGAATGATTTTCCAAAGCAGTTGGAATAGCGGTTACACTTTCTCCCTATTGAGAGGACTAGTTGACATGTCATTCTCACTTTGTGGATGTGAAGACACTCCCTTAGGAAATCACATCTTGATAATTGCATCATTTTCTTACTACGGTTTTTTCTAAAGTAGCGTTTGGATATGAGAATTCATTTCAATATTTGAATTTCAATTCTATAATTTGAAATCTCATATTTTGATTTTTATTCCAAGGTTTGGCAAACACATGAAATTCAATTTTCATAACTTCAAATCCAAATGTTGTTTGGAAAAGAACAAGAATTCAACTCTAAAATTCAAATTTTGTTGCTTGGCAAATACTAAAATTTCATTTCAAATGATAATGAACAAAATATTGTTAACATAATCTCAGATATGTAGTAACTTGTTTCATTAACAAAATACATATTAATGTATGACAATTATAAAAATTAGTAATTGGAAATAAACACTTAATACTCAATGATTGTTTATAATACAATTATTTTTCTAAGCACAACAAAATTCAACATAGCTTTTGGTGTTCAGGCAAGGCTTTGAGCATTTGGAGGAATTCATACCCATATAATTGAACGGCTCGGTCCATGGCCACTGGAATCCAGTGGCTACGGAAGTCACTGTCCCCCTACGAAGCTTCGTTCATAAAATTGATGATTCCTACCCCTCTAACCCCTCCGGTAAACCCCCGCCAAGTCCCGACCCAAACTAATCACCCCACCTACGTCAATTACACCTCGTAAGTATAAAGTCAAAATTTTTGACTTTAAAGTCAATTATACTTACGAGGTGCAATTGACGTAAGTGAGGTGATTAGTTTGGGTCGAGACTTGACGGGGGGTTTACTGGGGGGTTAGAGGGGGTAGGAATCATCAATTTTATGAACGAAGCTCCGTAGGGGGGCAGTGGCTTCCGTAGCCACTGGATTCTAGTGGTCATGGAACCGGGCCGATAATTGAATCCATGGAAGAGGTCCTTCAATCGTCAAATTTCAGGGATGGTGTGAAAACTTGGCTAATTAGAATGTCAAAGGGTTAGAAGATTTTTTATTCGAAGTGAATGGGAGAGGACAAGTCATGTTGGATTTATAAGAGCACTGGTAATACCCGAGAAGCCTCGAGGCTTCAAATCAGAGCTTCAAACTTTCTCTCTCTGTCACGTCAGCTTTAACTTACCTAACAAATTTACGGAAATGGATTTGAAGCACCGGGGCTTCAAACCTTTATTTTTTACATTTTAAATAAACATATTCTAAAACTAAATTAATAAGATTTGCTTATTTAAATATTTAATTAAATTGAAAAAAGAATAATTCAAAAAAATTACATTCATTGAACTAAAAAAATTAAAACGACAATAATTCATAAAAATTACATTCCATAAAAAAGAACATTTAATAAAAATACAATAATAAAAAAATCAAGACAAATTGTATTTCGCTTTGATCTCTTTTTGTCATCTCTCGAAAAGCATATGTTTAAAACCCAATAGCATATGTTAAACGCCCCATGGCGCCCCTGCGTCAAGAGCATTTCCATTGCTCTAAATGACAAATGGAGAGTACAAATTTGTAATTGAGTATCTAAAATATTGTTCAATTTAATTTATTTAAATTCTCAAATTTAAATTTGAAATCTAAAATTTTAGTTTTAAAACAGGTTTTTTTAGAACTTGGATAAACTCATACTCGGCCCAACAACACAACATAATGGAAGCAAAAATAGGGCTTAGACATTTGGGCAAGGCGCATGTCTATATAAACGGTCGCATTCCCACGTCCTTCAATCGACTATCAACCAGATCTTCTCTTTGGGTTTTAGGGTTAGGGGTTCGATTTTGTGCTTATTTGTGTTGATTACACCGATGAGGAAGAATTCCCAAAAAAATAGATAGGAAGTGCCGTATGACACTCCAAACCGCGGCGGTGGTTCCCGGCGGCGTATCCCCTTCCCCCGTAAATTGTTTTGTACTCTTTTCGGTATGTACGATTCGCCGCCCTCCACTGCCGCTGTGCGTGATTTGGAAAGGGTCTCTGAGGTTTTGTTTTTCAATCTATGCCTTTTTTTTTCCGGTTTCGCCTTTGATGTGAATCAGAAAGGTTCGTGCCACGTCGCCGGTAGCTTTTCCGAGCATTGACCGGCGATGCTACGAACGAACCTAAATCAAAGTACTTTCGCATTATATAGGAAGCTATGGATGGATATATTATATTCCTCTGTAGAGCCGTCTGTGCGATAACATCTCTTGATTTGATATTCATTTACAAATTTTGTCTGATTTGATCGGAGAAGGCCTATGAGGATTCATTATACTATTTCTGGAATTACCGACTGAAATTTACTGTGAAGACAGATCGACTATCTGAGGCTTCTCTCCATCTTCCTCTAATTTCAAAGATTCATATTTCATTACTGGACTTTTATGAAATTATATTTATTTGTAATTTTTGTCCTAGTATTGATTAAAATTTCTTAGTTTTTGATAAATTTACTTCTTCGTCGATAAATAAAGTTTGATTAAGTGAATAGCAAATGAAACTTTATTGTTAGATGAAGGGAGTATTTTATCTGTGAGTTTTTATATATTTGACAATTTAAAATATTTTGGAAAAATTATCTTAAATAATTCCACCTTTTAGTGTTCTTTAAAAAATAATCTTACTTTTCACTCTTACTAGAAATAATCCTACCTTCTCGCATGTGTGCGAGTTTTGGGTTGTCGTTAAAAAACTAACGGTCACTTAACGGAAATTTTGAAAAATGTCTGTTTTTTCGCAAATAAATGAAAGGTGGGATTATTTTAGGTAAATTCTCCCTTTTTTGTTTTTTAATTTCTTTAAATGTATTTTTATTTTATTTTTTGGAAAAAATACTAAATTTAAGTGTTTTTAGAGTGAAACTAATTGTTTATTTAATAACCAATAATATGGTAATAATTAGAAAATAAATTATTCTACACAATAGAGCTAATTTATTAATTTCATAACTAACTACTCCCTCCGTTTTGTAAGTTTCATTTACTGTATTTTTCTTGAGCTGCATTTCAAATTATTTTTTGATACTACATTATTATTATTTCTTAAAAAATGAGACTACAAAACTTATAAATATTTTTTATGAAACAACATTACAATAGTTGTAAAAGTAGCACAATAATTTTTTTTCTTTAAAATAGAACACTATGAAATTTTTATTGATTATTATATATTGCAATAAAATTCTTTTTAAAATGGAATTACCCAATTTGTGATTTTTTTTAATAATAAATACAAATTTTTTTCCAAAATAGTAATTCAAAAGTTGTGAAAATGATACTATTTTTTTCTCCAAAACGGAACTCATAAATTTTATAAATCAGTACAAAATTTGTTAATCGTTAGACAAATCTCTAATAAGAGTGTATTGTTATATTTTTAAAAATATTAATTTTAAAATCAAAACTAAAAAAGTAAAAAGCAAATTTTTCTAAAATTATCCCATCTTTCACTTATTTGCAAAAAATAGGTATTTTCAAGAACTTTCGTTAAGTGGTTGCTAGTTTTTTAACGGTAACTCAAAATTCGCACACATGCGAAAATGTGGGATTATTTCTGGTGACTGTGAAAAGTGGAATTATTTTTGAAAGAGCGCGAAAATGTGGGATTATTTGAGATAATTTTTCCAAATATTTTTGTTACTTTTTGTTTTTAAATTTTTGAACATAAATTTTTATTATTGTTTTTGAGCTTTGATTGAATTTTTTTATTTAATTTAATCAATTATTGATGTAAAATTATAAAATAAAAATTATTTATTTAAAAGTTATATTTAAAAGTTTTACAAAACAAAGATTGAAATGGTTTTATTATTTTATGAAAATAAGTAAAAGAAATTTTTAGGAAAGTGGAAGTAGTATGTAATTTCTATGTTTTATTATTATATTAATTTGTAAATAAAATGATTTTAAAAGATAATTTTACTACATAATAATTAGATTTGAGATGGACATTGAATATTCAAAAATGACGTGAAAATCTTGATATAGTTAGTGGAATGACTTAGAGTAAAAAGAGCAACCGTGCTATAATCTTGATATAAGGTACACTAACACTCTTTGTTTGGAGTTTGGTAACAAAAATAGAGATAGGTAAAGAGAGGTAGGGGAAGGTAGAGGAAGGTAGGGTTACATTTGAACAAAATATGAGGTAATATACTCTTTTTTCCACAGTTATTCTTCTTCACTTCGGATCGCCGTGTTCCCGATAGAAAACCAATTGCCTATTTTCACATCGCCATACTCGTCTTCCGATCGTCATCTCCAACAACACAGGTTTTCCGATTTTTTCACTCCAATTTACAATTTTTTTTCGTTATGCTCTGCTTTGCGTGCGTCGTTCTGCTTTTGCTTCCTTCAATTTTTTCACATTGCCATCGTTTGCTTTTGCTTCAATTTTTTCCGTTCAAATTTTTCACATCACCATCGCTTGCCTTTGAATTAATTGTTCTTCTTTTGAGAATTTACATGATGAGACAACTAGATCGTTTAAAAATCTAGCCATGTTTCAGTACTTCTTAAGACTGTCTTTACTTTTTGCTTCCTTCAATTTTGCTTTCATTTTCCAGTTTATGCTCAATTTTCAGTTTAAGCTTTCCTTCACTTTTATTTTCAGTTTTCGTTTTTTTTTTGTGCCCATTTTTTTCAGTTTTCATTTCACTCTTTTTTCATATAAATATATCCTAAACAAATACAATCACAAAGATATTTTAATAATTTTATTTTTTTCCTACCTCACGTTACCTAATAAACATCCAAACACATTTTTTAACTCATTACCTTATTTTACCTACTTTT